GCTGGGTAAACACAACAGGAGAGATGGTTCTGAGAAAAAACAGAACTGCCCGGGTCACTCAGATTTCTTACAGTGTGTTCTATTGGGATAGTGATGGGTCCTATGCTGCCAGACAGCAGCAGACATTTTGTGATGGAACTGTAATATCAACACCCAGTAAAAATAAGAGGAACATGCAAACAGCCTGAGTACCTGCATTGCCACAGCTGTGTCAGTGGGAAGAGGAATTTTGTTCTGCACCAGCCCTACTCGAACGATACGCGGCCTTCTCAGTTGCTCTGGAGCAGCATCAAATCCGTAGCCCTGTAGTTCAAAATCTCTCTGTTGAGCAGATGATAGAGCAGCCACTGGCAAGCTAAGTTTTCTAGATTGAAGATGAAACAAAGACATTTCAAGATAAGATGCACTCCTTTTCTGCAATGCAACAGACCAAAACGATCGCACGTGTCACCTTGCCCTGGGAAGATGTTGCTGTTCCAAGCTCCTGTGTCACACAGCTGTCAGATAAGGGAAGTCAGGCAGCAGCCAGGTTGTGTGTGACCTCAGCTCCATGGCAGCAAATTCTCAGTCTTTGCCTCCATAACTGTGCTTTCCAGACATTGCTATTTACTACAGAATCAAGGAGCGCACGCATACAGAGCTCTCTACCTAGCCCTGAAGGTTACGTGCGCTTTCCCAACTTGTTTTCCCTCATGTCAGACCCCCACTTTTAGAATCATAGCATCACTAAAGCTGGAAAAGACCTCTCGGATAACATTACCTCATCGCAAGGTCGCCCTTCTTCCTCCCTTCAGCCCACCTACCCTCACACTGCCTCCCCCTGACCCCCAAGCTGTCCATCCCCAGCAGCACACCTCGTCTCACCCCCATAGAGGATGCGCTTCACCTCGGCCAGGTCCTGGGGTGGGATGTGCCTCTCCAGGCATGACTCCAGTGACTCCAGCTCTCCCTCCATGGCCTGGCTGTTGGGCACACACAGAGGCCGTTGGGCACGCAGCCCCTTGGACTTTACCCTTGCTGGGTCCTGGTGGCCACTCCCCTTTCTCCCCAGCCTCCCCACTATGGTGGCCCAGACTTCAGCACTGTGGGGCTGCAGGGGGGGGTTGATGCCCTCAGGTTGTTCAGTGGTTAAACCTGAGGTGCCCCAAATGGTTAAAGAAGCAATGATGTGGTCGTGCCAGGTCACTTCTCACTTCTGGGGCAGCTCCACAGCCTCAGAAATAACTAATCTAAAAGCAGAACATTTTTAGGAGCTTTTTATGACGGCAGCATTCAATAAAAAGGCTTAGAAATAGGAAGGAGATCATAAAATGACAATAGTTTTCACGGATGTGTGCGTGCCCATTTTAGTTGCAGTGAGACTCTGATCGTGAGCCAGGAGTAAAAAATAATTTTGCCCTCAAGATGGATTTGAGACCAAATGTCATCAGAAAATCATCCCCAAAACACAGTTAATGTCCAATAAAAGCTAGAACACGTTAAGGCCTGGATGTAAGAGAAGAAAAGAACACCTGAAGAGAAATGGCACGCGCCCCACAGCCACCCTTGCTTCTCTCATGATCTCTGCAGCATTGGCCATTGCATCTCCTTCAAAATGTTACTGAAATGCAGAATATCGGCACTTCATTGATTGAAAATAACAGCTACCAAGCCCAGGAATGGGCCACACACATCTAGACACATCACACTGATTTCAAGCACTGTTTTTTGAATCTTCTAGAGGATATAACAACGTCCAGCACTTCACATCTACAGCTGTTTGCTGTTCTCAGTTAAACATTAAGCCCTTTAGGCCAAAAAAAGAATATCATGGAGAGAGTGTCTAATATTTAACTTTAAACAGAAAGTGCACAGGGACAGTCAGGTGTCATCATGGCATTCTGAGATGTGACTGTGCCTTTTTTATCCCAAATGGTGCAGCAATGCTCATGGTGCACAGGGCATCGCACTGCTGCTGTGAGGGATGGGGCTCCTTGAGGCAGAAGGCCTTGAGGAGAGCCCTTCAGTCTTGGGGGCATTTCCAAGATCAGCTAAAATTAAGGGCGACAGCACATGACAAAACAAAAGCAGTGAATACGAAAGAGAAGAAATGCCATCATTTGAAAGGAAGGATGTTTAAAAAAGCCTGGATAACTGGTTTGTTATGTTAGTATTTGTCTTGTAGTCATTGGTGTAGCATTGTGTCTGTTTTTGTGACCAAGGTCCTGCAAACCTCTTCTTAGTGATCACTTTCCAGGCCCAAACATACTTCTGGAGAGCAACAATAAGCAGTGGCTGACAGTTACGTGGTGTTTTTCATTTGATGATCCTAATTTGCTTTAACAGTCAATTTTAAGGGTATGTATCAATAACATTTTGTTCTCTTCGTGGCTGGCAGGTCTTTAAACATCACTGAATGAGATAGCAGTGCAAAAATTCAGGGAAATTAGGAAACCAAATTACGTTTATTTCCCTATCAGCATACTCAGGATGTCAACTAACAAATAAAGCATTTCTGGAGATTCGTAGAAACAAACAGAAGGGCCTGGGTTTCTTTGGGAACTATTCAAACTCTTTTCAGCCTGGACTGCAAATTAAAAGAAAAAACAGCAGGTCTATTTTGTATCCAGCTCCTGAAGAAGGTCACATAACTGAACTTTTCTCTTCCAGCTTCTATTCTTAGTGTGAACTTTCACTGACTTGTTTGTTTGTCATTTGTTAAAGCGTGCTACATGTAGGAAACGGACTTTGGGGCAATAAAACTGAAGCCCCTGAAAAGAATACTCATGAACAGTCGAGATCTGAAAAAACAGTACATTTCCTGTGTGCCGTATCAACCATCCTGCAACAACACAGCCAAGTCCAGACTGCGTGAACAGGAAATGACAAGCCTAGAATTACTAATAATGATGAAAGGAGACCAGGCTATTCCATAGGGACTATGTGTATATAAAGGTATAACTCCAGCCAACACAATAAACCTTCAAAGCATGAAATGTTAATGTTCATCAGGAAAGTAACCTAATAAAGGAAGATGCTTTCCGTATCCCAGACAAAGCATATTAGAGAGCTTGGATCTAAATCTGAATGTTCCACCTTGGTCATTGCAATTATCTGCTAAGTATGATGCTTGAATCCAGAGCTCAATTCTGGTGTTGAATTCTTCAAATCTCTGTATTTAAACCTCTTCTCAGTGCTGCATTACCAGGACGAAGGCACTATTTTGCAAAAAACAAAGCTCAACCTTTTAGCATGAAGTCAGCCTATGAATAATTGGTTTGGAGGAAAACAAATTTTAAGGATCAGAAACATTTTTTAAAATAAGTTAAAATTCCTACAAAACACTTCATCTCTATTGCCCTCAGGTAGTCCACAAAGTCAGGCAAAGATTTCAGGACCACACGGGTGTAATGTGCACAGAAAGCAGTTTGTCTGTGCTTCTGTGATGGAGCCCTGTGCTGCAGTTACCATCTCAGAGTTAAAACTGGGTTTGTTAACACTGGATCATATGCTCTGTGCCGTAAGACTGCTCCCAAGAGTTCCTGTAAAACCCCACAACAGCACCCTGGCATTACTCAGAAGCACTCTGGAGGATGAGTTTAAGAGCCAAATATCTAAAGTTCAGGCTAAAGCTGGGAAAGACCCAAGAAAGGACTTAAACAAACAAAGTGTCTCCACTGTAACCCAAGATAGAAGTGAAGGCTAAACAGCATCACATATCAGAGCTAGCAGGCAGGACTGAGAAACAATTTCCTTTCTATGTTTGTAATATGTGCATATACTCTTTCTGAAGCACTCAGCTTTTTACAAACTCTGCTAATATCATGCAAACCATGTTTCCAGACACTTTCTTCTGCTGCCATTCCTTTAAATGGGTCACACAAAGCTCCCCAGAGTAGCGAAGTAAATAAATTGTGTCCCAGATGCAATAAGGGGACAATCTGTCTCAGCCCGTGCATGGGGTCATGCTGCTTGTTAACAACACCTACCAAGGGATTTAGGTGGACGTGGATCCAGGCATGTCCTGCAAGGCCACATGATATTGATGGCCTGTCTAAACTTGCTTTCTAGACACTGCAGCGTTCTTCAAAGTGACCTTCTACGTGTTCCTTTGCTCGTGATCACAAAATAAATTACCGAGTTGTACTGCAAAAGCGATCTCTACATTGCTTCTCCTCAAACACAGATCCCTTTGGTTCATGTAGAGATAGAAAGCAATTATCTTCAGAGATAACTGATTCAAAACATTTCAAATGCAACCAACAGGCCATAGAGGGTAATTAGTAAGGTTGTAAGAAAGGAAACCTAAAATATAGGGTGAGTTCCATGCTACTTAATACACAGCTACAGGAAGGAAGGCAGTTGGTAAAAAAAAGCTTTGGGTCCTGCTTTGAGTTATACACAGATACAGACAAGATGCAGGGGTGTTGCAATGTAGGAAAATCAGAATTTTGTTCTGAAGTCACTCATGTACCAGGATCTCTTGCCACTGCTAATTTTTGGTTTTGCCTTTTGTTTTGCAGGGGGATAATGGGGCTGGGGGAGCTTTACAGTGCCCACACACAAAGAAATCTTTTACTAATTCTACTTAAATCTTCAGAAGCACTCTTATCAGTTTTAGAAATGGGCCTGCATGCATATTTAATTCAAAATGGAGATAAGGATTTTGATATGGACAAAAAAATTAGGGTCTGCATTTGGATTCTCCCACTTTTCCCATGGACTAACAAAGCCACAGGTACAATCACCTACGGAGCAGGAGAGTCAAATTATAACCTCATCATCTGCTCCTGGCTTCCTGCCATTCTGAAGGCTGGTTGAGGGGAAGTTGCTGAAGAATGGAGGAAGTTCAGTGTTGACAATACATTTTGTCTGCTCTCTGGCATGCCAGGGACCAAAGGAGTCCCTAACCAACCCTTTGTCTGGGAGGCAAAATGTAGGTTTGCAGTCACTTTGCTTGCCTCCCTCACTTTGATTCAACAAGAAAAGATCAGCTCACAGTTATCACAGAGTTAACCTACCTTTGGAAGAGATCTGTTGTCTTTTTATCGAGAAACACTCTGCTTGCTTGCTTTGACTAAATCACACCTGGAAACGCATCTGTAAACTGGAAGAGAATCACAAATCGACCACTTTGGCTAATGAAAAAATTTCATTCTACCCTGTGATATGTCTGTCTCCCTGGCACACAGGAAGTGCATTAAAGAGATAATAAACACTCATGAAACACATTTAATGACCTAACATTTAAGAGCAGCGCTCTCGTTCATTACTGTAACTTTCTGCTAAATTGTCACCATCAAGATTGCTCATGGGCTCAAAAGGTCAGTGTTATTTTTGCTGTTGAAATCACAGAGTCTGGGAAACAACTGTGTGTAAATTGCTGATAAACTGGAACAAAGACAGTGGAGAAAAACACTGAACATGTAAGAATGCAAGTAAACCAGCAGGAAAGGAGGGGAGGGGAAGAATCTCACGGACAGTTTATTAAAAGAACAAAAGAATAAAATCTGGTGCATTTGTTTTCCACTGGTGCAGGAAGCCCGGTCTTTAAGCACCTACTATAAATAGAGTGCTCTAATCCTTCATCAAAGCGGGTAGTAGTCTACAACAAAATGAATGAATTTTAAGTATAATCTGGGAAGAGGAAGATGCCACTCCCCTCATAGTAGAAGAATCTTTGTCTAAATTCTAACAGAAATTAGTTATTTCGTAGCGTAAAAGAGCCGGGGAGACAAAGCAGGGCCTGGAACTTGATGTTTTACAGTGCAAGATCCTCAGCAAGAATATTGTTAGAGAATGGAATGAGCAGTCATCTACATCAGGATTGAATAATCAGTTTTGGAGGAAGATGAACTTGAATCTACTGCATGGCGAACCTGAAAATCCCCAAGGAGTTCCATTCTGAGTGGAGGCTGTATGTGAACTCTGTACACTTTGGAGTAAGTGTTCAATAGGGTGATAGGAATACCATACAGAAAACAACAGGAACTTTGAAAACATGAAAAGGACAATCTTCAGTCATTCAGCTGTCTATAAAGGGGGTGAATGGAAAGAAATCCCAAGTATTCGTCTCAGAGCCATCCAAGGTCAAAACAAATGCGGAATACAGAGACTTACACTGCCCTTGAGGAAAAAAAATCACTGAAAAGAATTTCAGGGGAAAGAATGTAAATTGTTATTAGATGGCCTCAAAGCCCTAACTCTATAGGCAAGCAGCTCTGGCTAAAAGTTTGGCCAAATGACTCAGTACTTCTAATTGCGTGGGCTTGGGTTTGATGCTACTCAAATGAACCCAACGAGGAAATTTGTTCAACTTGCCCACTGAACCAGATGCTTAGTGAGTAAATTCTAGAATAGGCACTGAATATTCTTCCAGCAATCAATAACAAGTGGGAAAAGTGGCTTCAGCTGAATTTGTCCCATGAATTGATGCATACCACCGTCAGACAGGAACCCAGACTTAAGATTATAGGCATTCAGAAGCTTTATGTACAGGGTCATACACTGACACCCAGTTTGCAAACTTCTGCTTCAGAATAACTTGATCTACTTTGAAATTTACTTCTGAGTAAACAGCTTCTTGTTCCACAATGGGAGTATGCACACATAGTGCTAATCAGAAGTAATATTCCACTTGAACTGCTAACTTTACTGCAATCCAAATGAGTTGCCCAGTGTAAACAAGTGTTTTCTTCAGAGAAGTGGGAAGATGACAAGCATGACAACTTTTAAGGGCAGCTCATGGAGGGGAGATTGCGAGGCCTCAATGGCACATTTGTGTAAGGAAGGTTAGTATCTCTGTCTCACAGCAACATGTGAAATCAGGAAGATAGTTGCAGCTGCATTTGGCAGAAAAACAGTAGTAACCTAAGCTTGACACTATAAATGATGGTTATTGAACCAGCGTCCTCATGAAAAAGCTAGATGTTGGCAAAAGGGCATGAGGAAGACAAAACAGAAGCTTAATTAACTTAACAGGAAAGAAAAATCTCCTAGATAAAAGGAAGAGAGCCATTTCTGAGCCAAGTACTTAAAGGGTTCTCAGACCTTCCCAGGCCAAAGAGTGTGTGTGTGTAATGCTGACTTCCTTCCAGCTCTGTCTGTGCCAGAAATAACTCTTCAATGGAGTATATCTCATTAGTGTACCTTTTACCAAGCCATTCTTTCAAAAGAAAGTGATACTTGCTGCTGACACGCTGCTGGCAAATGAAGGAGGCTGCTTTCATGAAGAGTGTAGCACATTCCTCTATCCCTCTGCCCAAACACATACAAGTTTGCTGACTTGTAATGGCACGAGCTAAAAATTGCATTGAAAAAAATCATAATGAGAGAAAGAAAGAGGCAGAGAAAATCTGCAGCGACCAACATGAGGGTTGACTGGCCTCTTCAAGACAGCAAGGCGAGTTCAGCATCTTTCAAAGACCCTTTTGCAGCTTGTATTGCTGATACTGCCTTTCAAGTCATTGTGTTCTTAGCCACAGAAGGGTGAACCTGGAGCCATATACTGTGAATGTCACATAAAACCCTGAAACTTGGCCAGCTGGGTTGTAAGTACAGAACTTACACGTTGCCTGAAGATAATACATAACTCTTCACCCAAGAGAGGCACTGAGAGAAACATACAAAACATACTATCTATATGCTAATGCATCCATCCACCAACTAGCTGTGGTTTGCTTGATGCACTCCAGTTCAGGATCTGAGATTTAATTTAGGAATAAAAGTGCATTTCTATCTTTCATAGTTTCAAAGAAAATAATCCACCCATGAACAGATCAGAGCAGCTGAAATAGTATCTGCTGAAGTCTGTGAAGAACCTGAAATGAAAGATCTGAGAAGAGCAGTTATGTTCCACCTAAGTATCCCACTGGGCTGCAAAACTGGGCTGCAAAACTCTTTGGAGGCTTTATGAAGGAAAAATAAAATAAAAAGTGCATGTTAACTATTTCATTGTTAGACAGCAGTCTAGGGATACTGGAAACTAGAAACACAAAAGCTAATGGAAAGAGAAAGAAGGACAGGAAGAGACTGCAGAGGATTTACTGGTAGACACAGCTTTCCTACTGAGCAAAAACTGGTATGCCAGTAATTTCTAAGGAAATTTCTAATAGTAGCTCTAGAAGAGCTTTTTGTTTGGTTTTAGGTTGTTTTTGTTTGTTGGTTTTTTGGGTTTTTTTTGGCTTACCAACTAGACTCCATACAGGACCTTTGGTCCAGCCTCACAGAGGACAATTCTGTGAGTCCAGAGGAGAAGACTGTAATGAATTTACAGTCCCAAGTATCATTAAATATGGAATTTATTCTTTTCCTGGAATGAGTGGGACACTCCTCCCACTGACAAAAAGGGGGTTTTATCTTTTTTCTTGTACACAGAAGTCACCCCACACACAGTGCACTGCATGCACAGAGCTGCTTCCTGAAATATTTCAAAATTTGTTTTCCTTAGATTATTTGTGTCTACAGCCACCAGCTGGTCTGTGTCAAAGCCGATATATTCAACATATTATTCCATTATCCTATTAGGTTGAACATGTCCTTCCTCCCACGAGTGCTGTTAAGATATCATTCTTATATAAAAGAGAGAACTTTAGTCCCACTGTCACCTCTTTTCTCCTTCAGAATAAGGCACTATCCTCAGTGATCAGATGACTTTTTAGCCCATTCTGACACTTTGTGTTCATATATGCAAGAAATGATTCCTGGGCATTTAACATCCAGCTCTCTCAACAAACAATACATCAAATACATACATACATCAAATGGAGGAAAAAACAAAAGCTCTGAAGTCTTGAAAAGACAACGTCTGATGATTTCTTTTTTCAAATGACACTTTTCTATATTATGTTATTGGACTCTCACTTGAAACCATCACTTCTCTTCCATCAAGACAGCACTCATTTCCCAAACTGCTCTCTCAAAATGGAAAACATCTCAAATTCTGGTCAATGACATTTCAGCTAAGGAAATGGTCACCTTCAAGTTTTCTTCTGCAGGCTCTTCATGCCCCTGGGAATGGGAGAGCAAAAATTCCTGGCTGGTTTCCACGACCTCTGGGACTGAACATTCCTTGCTTGAAGAGCCTTCCCAACCTCTACACAAGCTATGATTAAGACCGTTAGTGTCAGCAAGGATTAGTCAAAAAATGCCATTTTAAAGTTTGATAGGAGTAGGAAGGCACTAAGGAAGTGAGATAAAGCAGAGAGCAAGCACCAATGGGAATGGAGGCAACCAACCAACACATAAATGTGCCCATGTCAAAAATGTGTAGGATCACCTGTGGGGACACTTAAAATCATTGGCAGTGGCATGAACACTATCTCTTGCTTCTCTCCTCTCCAAGATATAGCTTTGGGTGAATAAGACTCTGAACAGGGGAACTTTCTCCTTTTTACATCCTAGAAAGAAATGTATTTTGGAAACAAAGCACATCCCTCTTCATTTGTGTGCCTGGAGATTTCCAGTTAGCCCACACCATACTTTTCCACAGGATCTCAGAAGTAACTGGTGAGCCAATGAACACTTCCACAGTCACGTGAACAGAAGAGAAATGTAACACGTTTCCTGGACAGATCATTAGCAATATGCAGTCTTTTGATAGGGGAAAGAAAGAGGAGAACAGGGAATGAAGGAGTAGCAGAGGTGTGTGAAGGATAACTGGGGTATGCATATATAGAGAGCTGAGATAACACATCGTCCCATAAACCACAGCAAACACTAGCATAACAAATTCAATCCTGCTGATCAGACAGGTTAATCATAGCCACTGGTGACAAGGAAGGAGCCTTTTTTTTCTTTTCTGATTGTGGCAGAAAAAAATGCACTACTTGTCAAAAGGCAACACTACAACATCCTCCTATATATATATTAAGCTTGATTCATTCTCCAGAGCAGAAAGAAGCTTGCAAAGGCTTCATACCCATGTTTTACCACCTATTTACTCACCTCTCAGATCTTTTGTTCCATGGGAAACAGTAGTTAGTCACTCACAAACATGCTGACACAGTTCATTTCCTCCTGGTCCCAGCACAATGGAAACCACTAGCATCAGCTCAGCTCCAGGTACTGAATAATAAAAAACAAAGCAACTTTATCAAGCCAAACTGTACCATCAGAAGCCTCTCTAACACAGCACCCTCCTCCTGTGTTAATCAGAAAATCAAGGAAGGACACATGATGGTTACCTACTCATCCATCTACCTCTCCTCACTTTTGCTCACCAGAAAAGCAACAGGTGCTTCAAGCAGAGATGCAGACATGCACATTTATTCTCTTCAAGAGGCACCAAAACCCAGAAGTGTTCCAGAAAGATAGTATTTCTTTTTGCTCCTACTGCATCCTCTCTAGGTGTAGTTTTTTATGGTCTTTTAACATAAGGGCCGTATGTTCTCCCCAGGGAGGTATGCTGCCATAGGTAAAGATGAACAGACATGCAACTAAAACATAGAAAGTGAATGAATAAATGGACATCAGGGCAGTGTGGAAGAGGTTAATATCAGTACATTGGGAGTGGCTAGTGGATCGTGTATTACAGATAACAGCAGAGGGACTTTTAAAGATCTTTTTGCTGAGAAGCTGTCATTGAGAGTAGTGTTTCGTAGCAGAGGAAAGCAGCACTGGTGCTGCTATTGTGGGTTGGGCAGTTATTATGGGATGCCAGAATGTCTCTCAAAGTGTGCTGTGGCTCCGATCATGCCCAGTCTCCTTGCTAATACACTGGGGTACCATTTTTCATTTCCTTCCTTGCTGGATTGCTATTGTCACAATAAATCCAGACGTTTGGGCTTTGGGAGGGAAGAAGCAATTATACCAAGGGGCTGCTCAGCACTGCAAACCAACACTGAGTTCAGCTGTGGTCCTCAGGAATTGCAACACTTCTGAGATTCACTCAGCCCTTGCATTCCTTGTACAAAAACACAATGCCCTAATTGTCACATCTGCTGGTTCATGCTATCTCTGCTCTTCCTGTTCACGCTGTGTGTTTAATTTCATGTTAACTACTACAGTTCTTCAAAGCTTCCTTCTAATGCAGTGTAATTTTCCACTGTAACCAAGCACTCTTTAGAAACCAGCTCCAAAGTACCTGGAGAGCTTCGTGCACACAAAGCTGCAGGCTTTGGTTCAGAAGCTCTTCCCATGGCTAGAAGCAAAATCTTAGCAAAAGGATGCCTCCCTTCTTAAAGGTACAAAGAACCATTCTCTGGTTGTGTTGAGTCACAAGACCTTGAATTACCAGTTTTAGAACAATGTTTACGTGCAAAACAATGATTTAGCAAAATGTTTGAATAAGAAAGTGAGAGAATCAGCAGCATTATTTGATCTCTTTTGAAAAAAAAAACTGATTGACCACAGTTTCAAAATGTTAAAGGCAAGACCCTGGAGCCACAGATTAGTGGACAGAGACGGGGGGGGGGAGCAATCAGGGTTGCCTGCAAATGCTCTTCATAATGACTGTGCAATTTAACCCAGCTATCATGAAGATGGATGAATGTAGCATGTACATGTATTGCTGCTCGCAACCAATAATGGCTCAAATTGGGCAGAAGGAAAGATGACATGCTGCAATTTGCAAATAATTAGTATGCCTGTAGCCTTTGCTCACCTTTCCATCTCATGCATTAGAGGCAAAATATTCACATCCCAGGCAATTAAGCCCATCCCATTTTAGACTTTCTCATCCCATTTTTTCCTTCTGTTCTGGTATGCCTGCGATTGAACTTGATTTGCCCATATGTACTTACCCTCTATATATGCCCTCAGCTACTTTCATACACTCAAAACTGAAATGACTGCCATTTCGTCTTTCAGCTGCCTGCTCAAAATCCACAGCTTCCATATGGTCTGGATAAACTCAGGCTCTTTGTTACATTGATGCTTATTGTTTCTGTTAGTCCTTTGTCTTATTTCTATGGCTAATTCAACTATTTATTTTTTATACTGCATTCTCTTTCGGTTTGTTCAACGTGCACAGCTGCTAGCATAGCAAGGGCCAGAGCAAGGCACATTTAAGGAGATCGTTTCCTTTCTTGTATGCAGAGAGCTCAGTTTAACCCATGGAAAATGTCTCTTTGATGGTTCAGCACCAATCTAACACAGGAAACACCACAGCAGCTGATGTTGGGCCTTTGCAGAGAACTGTAGTGCAGCATTTTCCTGTCATGCTGCAGGCTGTTCTGACACATCGTCTCGCTGTTCAACTCATGACAAATAACAGAGAGAAGCATTGAAAACAGTCTAATGCCAGGCCTCTTAGAATGACTTACCTTGTTTAACAAGGAGCCTTTTGGGTTTATCAAGCCTCTGTTATCTTGTGCATGCTGGGACATGTTAGCAGCTTCGCTGGGGTGAAGAAAAACAGTAGTGAGAGCAAGAAAGTCCTGTTTTTATTGACCAGAGCTGCTCACCCTTCAGGGGCACCTAGCTGAAACACCATAACAAAGCATTGATTATGCTGCTGCTGAGAAACACAGGAAGGTCTTCCTGAGCACAGTTCCAAAATGCAGCCTGCAGAGAGAGAGAATGGTGGGAAAGACACTACAATACAAATGAGAGGTATGACCCTCCAAAAGGAAAAGGAGACCTCACAAACACGAAGCAAGAGGCCACAGGGACCAGTCCAAGGCTGAGAGGAGTTGCCACCCACTCCACCTTCTGTCTGTATTCTGGCAAGGAACCATCTGGTTCAACTGACCAAAACATTTTCAGTCTACAGCAGAACAAAGAAGTACCTGGGTTAGTAGCCTTCATAAACCAAGGATGTAAAGGTTTTTTTTTTGTTTGTTTGTTTGTTTTTTTAAATATGCAACCTAAGAGCAAAAATAGCAAAAAAAAAGAGCTTTTTGCTACATATTTGCTTTGAAAAAAATCCTTCATAGTTGCCACATTCCTACCTGATTTCTTAGCATCTCCCCAAGGGCTTCAGCCTTGATGCTGTGTCAGAGTCATCTCTGAAGGAGTGTCCTGGTGAAGACAGCTGAATCTCCATCATTGTGGGGAAAATCTACCTGAGGTGAATGGCCCAAGAAGCTATCAGAACAATCTGCTTTAACCAGAGCTTTCCAGCAAAGGGAAATGTGGACCAAACTAGTTGGATCCTGAAGTCCCACAGACAGCAGAGGGAGCTCTCTCTGCTCTCTGTCCTCCAGCATCAGACTTAAACCTGCCAGAGTTAAACAACCAAAGAGAAATCAGAAATGACATCAGTGAGTACAAAGGCTGCTGAGTTCCTACACTGAGTGAGATGCCCAAATCCTAAAGAAGGGCCATACTTTGGAGGTTGCTCCCCTGCTGTACAGCCTGGCTGTTTACAGCCCACGCCGAGCGCTTTAGGTGCAGGCAGGAGATGGATTCCAAAACAGGAATTTAGTTCACATTCTGGTTTGAATCCAGAGTTTCACTGGGGATGAAGAGACAGGAGTGAGGCCTGGACAGTGTCCTGGAAGCACTGGTTTCAGTCCCACCTTCTCTGCTGTGCTGCTGGATAATCCTGGAGGCTTCCTCCGACCCATTTTGTGATACCTCCATCTGCTGCCCGTGTGACACAGTTCCCTGTGAATCTCAAAGACTTCTCCTGACAATTGCTGGAGAAGAGACGGGTGCTGTGGGAACCGATTCCGACCAAGTTAGTAACCAACATTTCTGTAAATACCAAACGCTAAGGAGCTAAAGAAAGAAATGGTCAGGGGTGAAATGTCATCTTTATGCTATTGTAACGCACAGCAGATGCTTCCCCGTCTGCTCACTGGCACTGGTAGCATGGTGTCTGCAGTTCTGACAGCCCAGGGCCTCAGAAGTTACCTTTCCCCCAACACGTGTTTCCCACATTGAAGGATCAGCGATCGCCCCTACTCTGCAAATCCAGCAATCTTGCTTAGAAGAAAACAAACCCTTCAGACAGCCTTTTTCTGCTTCCCTGGCCAGCAGAAGGAAATGCTGCACACGAATGGGAAGGCTCAGTGCTGTTGCTGCTTCCTGACTCCCACACTAAAAGGGAGCATGGGGGTCTGGGCTGGAGGAGAACAGTCCCACAGATAAACTGTCACAGAAGGAGCCAGGCCAGAGGCCTTGCTTCCACAGGAAAGCAGGCACCTTCCAGAAACAGCACAAGTAGCAGCTAGGTAGGCAGGGAGTGCAGAGGAACACGTCAAAGTCCGGATTTATGGGAACAAAAGGGTTTTCTTTTGTTCCTCCAATTACCTCTGCCAGCAGTCGTGCCACGTTCCTCCCCCACCCATGCAACCTCACCTTCAATTACCTCAGGAGCTTTCGTTACAGGAAGATGCCCTGAATGGATCAAATTAGTGCCTTATAAAAGCTCATTTGGGAAGCATCCATGTGATCCTTATTCAGTTAGCAGGAGGGGATGGAGTGGGGATGCCAAGTGAGGAGCTGAATGCTCAAGGCACACTGACATGGCTTCAGTGTATTGAGAAGACACAGCCAGAGAATGATGCCCTGCTTCTTGAGGGTACAGCAGCTTGGGGGCATGGGATCTCATAGAAACATCCTCCTCCTGTTTGCACTGCTCCAAGGAAATGGGATGTAACACGCTGCCAGCAGCTGTGAGCAAATAAGATTGTCCACACGGCAGCTGTAGAGGGAATGGGACTGGACAGAGATAAATTCCTGTCTCTGACAATAGCTAGTGGGCTCCAGGCAGACTAGCAGCTGCAAAGCACCCAGTTCCTTGTGCTGGTTCAGATGACCAGGCACCTCTGGGACTGTGCTGGTGAAGAAAAGAGGCAGAACAAGTCTGCTTCCATCTATTTTTATACTGCAGACCCATCTGCTCCTCTCCACAGCTGGCAAGGCATGGAGCTCAGCTTAGATCCTCCCAACAAAAGCCTCTTTATGAGGCATGGGAATCCCTCCCTCTACCAGCACCACTTGGCTTGGATTGCCTGGGCAGAGCTATTTCAAGCACCACAGGTGGCTTCTCCATCTCTCTAAGCACAGGATGGAGCAGCAGATGCCTCACCACAACACTGCCCAGCAATACCACTGGGGACAAAGCTGGGAAGCACACAGGACCTGCAGACGTGCCACACAGAAGAGGCCAACAGGAGGAGTGCAGGGAATGGTTTTCACAGGCGAGACAGAGCAGTGTCTACCTGCACAGAGACACAAGTACTGATACTGGGACAGAAAGACAAGAGTCACATCCAGTTTTTGCCCTTTGCAAGCACTAACTCACCCACACGCAGGCCCTTTCCTTGTGACAAGGCCTGACATTTGCTTGCTCCGAGCTCTGTCCCCCCGACACACACACAGCAGGATTGCTCCCAGCCGCTTGCGTCTCAGTTATCTGACTGCAGGGATACTATTTCCTGTGCTTATTTTTCTTGTCTGGCTAGTTGGCCTGGAGGGTCTCACCTGTTGGAAAACTGCCATTGCTTCCCCATCTGCAGCACTGACCACAGCTCAGTGAAAAACAGCCTTAGGTCACTTTTAACTTCCTTAGGACCAGGAGAGGGCAAAGGCCACAGATGCCAACATGGAGCGGGTTCCTGCATGCCTTACCTTACATCAGCAGATGCATCTCTAGAGGAAGCACAACAAGGACACGTGTTTTGCAGCACTGGCACACATCCGGTGCACAGCAGCCACCTGGAAAACACCAACTGCATGGCTACGTGCAGGAGGACCTCCCTTCTGAGAGAGTGAAAGTGTCTGTGCGGCAAACGGAGCACAGCCTCTTCCAAGACCTGATTCACACGCAGGCTTCAGTGCTCCGTGTCATCTGTAAGTCACTGACATCCTGACCCCAGAGCATGGCCTCATGCTTCTGATGGGAAGAAAACCATCAAACTCGTCCTGGGAGGACAGTAAGTTCCACATGGTGCTTCCAGATCAAGTGCTGGTCCTCCTGCAAGGGAAATGGAGACTGCTGTTAGCGTGCAGACAGCACAGGCCATACCTCAGAGCCACACGGTGAACATTTACAGAAACGTTGTTGCTATGCTTTTTTTTGGAAGCTTGGGTAGTGCAGAACCACAGGAAAGGGAAAGACAGCCCCAGCATCTCAGATAAACTTCTTGTGCGGCCCAGGTCTCGCATGCTGCAGGAAAGGTTGGATCACCTGCAAATGGAGAACATAGGAGGGGAGGAACCAGCATGGGAAGCAAGTGCTTAGAGGAAGCAAGATGTAAAGATTTATTGTGAAAAGCCTCAATTCCCAAGCATTGGCTCAATTCATAAGGAAAAGGGGACCTTGGGTTTAACACAGTTGCAGTTGAATGTGACATGGGTTAGTGGTGCAGACTGGAAGGTCTCAGTGCAAGTCAGGGATATTACTGTATATTTCCTCTGGAAGGAAATCAAAATGCTATTTCTCATGAATTCAGAAAGAACACAGCTGTAGAAGAAGCAGCTGACTCTCAGCTTTAGTTGTGGCATTGAGTTACCAATGGTGGGAGAAAAGACTACTTCTGTTTTTCTAATGCAACCTTTAGCATTTTGATCCTTTTGGAATTAAGAGGATGATCTTCAGGAGGGTCTGAGATTTTTTGTCTCCACCCTATTTCTATTAGTGCTTTTGGCATGAATATAAAGGAAGGCAGGAAACACTTGGAATACTGGACTGCTCCCATATGGCAGACACCTCAGAAACGAAGCAGCCAGTTGTCCTTTACTTTAAGGTGCTGAGCACTCATGCAATCAATGCTGAGCAGTTGAGGCTCTGCCTTTGGCTCAGCCATAATCGTTGTGAACCCACTGTGTTCTCTCTGGGATGGAGAACACAAACACTCACCTCCACCCAGCGCATTTTTGCTCTGCAGAGTAACTTCAGTCTGCTATGTTACCATCACAAAATGGCTTCAAGTTTAGCAGCAAACGATTCCAAGTTGTTCTCAAAGGAGCACTGTGTTTCTCAGTCTCTGCCACCAGGGTTAGCTCAGAAAACCTGGCTGTGATTGCTCTCAGTCAGTTAGCAGAGGAGATGGCTTGGCAGGGATTCACAGGCAGCAGGCAAGCCTCAGAGCTGCCATTCCTGTCACCTGCAAAATTGGCCACATCCTCTGGATGATGGAGATGTTTAATATCGCAGGATCCAGAGTGCATGGCAGAACTGCTCAAAAAGCAATACAGGAAGCAATAGTGTTCAGTGCTGATTGAAATGCTTGATGGATTATGCAGGAATGTGAAAGGATGGAAGTCCTCCTTGCCCCAGGATTCACAAGCAGCATTCTTACTTTGCAAGACATTCCTTTTCTTTTTCTTGCCCAGCAATTAAAGTTTGCATCAGCATGACCTTCATCCAGCCTGGATCAGCATGGGCAGAAATGGCTGGGCCCGGTGCACCTGCCTGCAGAAGGTTCAGCATCTGCCATTTCTCAGCCCTTCAACACACCTCCAAAATAGGAACTTGGCAAACAAAGCTCACAGAGTGCATTGCTAAGCAGAACATTCTGCCGAGTCCTGACACCAGGACTGCATGTTATAAGGCACTTGCCAATTCCTGAGTCAACTTTATTTATTAAACACTAGAAAGGTCATGACGAATCTCAAAAGATAAAATCTGTGTCTGTCAAGCTGCCTTCCTTATTTTCATTGGCCCAGACACTCACGTTCCACACCAACAATAACAGGACATGGGTTCAAGAGGCACCATGAGTGCAGCTTACCCTGAGATGGCCCAGGCTTGTTTTGCATTCTTCATAGAACTGATCCAGGCCATTCAATTGTCTCTTCATTAGGCCTTCCCACACCTCTCCTGTATATAATCCTCACACTGCACAGTCTTGCTCCCCTTAAAACTCTAAAGCACAGGCACATGAAACTTCTAAATCCTAGATGATGCCAAATGCCCAAATGATGCAGCTGCAGGTTTTCCAGCAGAGTATCCAACCAAGATATGCTTAACTCCTATTTAGAATAATATCCTGGACTAATACTAGCCCAAAAGGCATCCCCGTGATCTCACCAACAGCTGAGGCAGCAAAATACTCCATGTGCATGGACTTTCTTTACTCTCATTCCAAGCTGTTATCTAATCTCCTTGCCTTAGGTAAGGTAAAAAATCAGAGCTGCCCAAGGCTCTGGGTAAATCCTTGGCAAACAAAACCAGAATGATCACAGCTCTGGTGCTTCAGTTTCCAAGCTAGCAGGCTTAAAGGCTGCCCAGAACTCTGGAGAAGTTGCAGTCACCTCTCTGGAGAGCACCAAGACGCTCCCAAAAACCACAGTCCCAGGTCTGGAGTTCAGTGCATCGGACTCAGACCACACAGTACGGATCTGCACTCCAAATAACCTCATCCTTACACAGTTTACTCTGAACCTGGAGATCAAAAGTTCTTTGCCTTTCACTTGCCAAAATATCACCATGCTATTCTCAGCCCCACACTTGGCACAGCTTATTTGGTTTCATGCACTGTAAGGACTCTACTTTTCAAAATGAACCTCTGATTTTCAGAGATCTGGGTAAAACTTCCCGTCACTCAGCAGGGTCTCAGTGGCAAACACTGCAGTTTCACAGCAGAGCAATGATTCTGCTCACAGGAGTAGTGCACTCTGCAGCCAAAAAATCCTACAACAGTCCCATCCACTGGGTCATTTCTGAGGAAATGACTCCAGTATCCAGAAGCATCCTCCTTTCTTCCCAGAACGGCACTGATGAGGAGAATGGGAGGTCAGGAAGAATAACACATCTCCATGTATATTCAGTGAGACTCCAGTCTACAGTGAGTTGCATCATCTAACTTCAGGGATCAGAGGTGGACTCCTCCCAGGATCTGAGCTGGCAGAAGTCACACATGGAGAATCTCACTTGTTCACTTTGGCCAAATGCAAAACAGTGCAGAATCTTTCCTGTGAATGTAAATTATGAGGTCCATAGGGCCCCAGAAAAGATGCTCACAGCTTTTAACCCTCCAAAATTTCTCCTTGAAATACACAGTGGCCGTGAGCACAGCAGGCAACTCGTATGCACTATTCTTAGCGGCAAAGGCTTCCTGTTCAGTGGCAGAAGTGACAAGGAAGATCCTGCCGCTTTAAAGCTGTAAAACACCTTTTAGACAAAGCACGCCATCCACCTGTTTGCAGGGAAAATGCCGTGCTCCACTGCTCCATCCTATTTCAACACTCAACAATGTCATCAGTTCCCAGTAATGCAGTAAAGATTGCACTGATGATGTCCCTCAGCTCAGTCTACAGCAGCAGCCCTGCAGTTGAGTTTCTCTGGGTGACCATGCCAAGGTGTAGATTTCCGAAGTGAGATTTCCAGATGAGGCCAATTGTGTTGCTGAACTGGGAGCTCTGTCTGTTCTTCCAAGTACTTGCTTTCTTCCCAGGACCAGGTACAGCCATTGTTCCCCAGGGCTCCTGCAGACCCATTGTTCCTCCCAGCTCCTGGCCTTTGATGCAGCAGAACAAAACGCAGGCTGTTTGCAAAAGGAGGGGAAAAATCAAAAAGCTTTTCAATTACACAGTTGGTTGAACAGCTCGGGCACAGCTGGCTACACAGCACCAGGGTGCCGGCACCTCTCCACAAAGCAGGGCCTCCAGTGAGGCCTCCAATCCAGCTGCAAAGTGAACGGGAAGAGAAATGAGCAGTAGCTGATGGTTATCTGGTGAACTTTCATTTCAACACTTCCCAATTCCAAATGCTCCTGGATCGTACAGACTTTCACTAACCCCCCCATACTCATTTAGTAGCTGCCAGCTGTGAAAAGCTGGAAATTATTCCTGCTGCATTCTGTCAACATTGCTCAGAATTGGCCTGAGATGCACCAGTAGCATCTAGATTCACTGCTTCCACTTCCAGACTACTTTGGCTGACATCATGCTTGGGCAAGCCCAGTCTAAGCAGCATTGGCAGACAGGGGGCTGAAGCAATGGTGTTAGAGGGAGGTCTGATGTGTGAAGGAGTGCCAGAAGGCTGAGATGCTCCAGTCATAGCTGTTCCAGGTACCTCTTCCCGATTCTGTTATGTAACACCATTCCTGACACTGCAGTGTTTTGGGAAAATACAGTGTTCTACCTTGTGTTCAGGACACAGCTGTAAACATTTTCTCTCACTGCCAGCATGACAGATCCCAGGATGTCAGAGTTGTGAGGGGCTCCCAGTCTGTCTGGGTCCGTCACCTTGTCCATGCTGACATCTTTAGTAGGTAGTACCAGGGAAAAGAGCTCTCTGGAAGAACGAGCCTATGGAAAAAGCTAATAAAAGAATAATAAAACGTTCATAAAATAGGCAGATCTCCCTTGAACAAAGACACTCATGCTCACTTTTACAAATATATTTTATTATTTTAATGCTTATTAAGAAATGTAACCAAGACAGACTCAGCAGCACCAGTGGCTCCTCACTGCCCAGCAGTCTGATGACTTCACAGATATTAAAACTTCACAGGTTCAAGAAAGAAAACAAACTTTGGTCAATGCACTTTAAATACATATGCATGCACAGATTCTCCCACCCCTTTCCCTCCCCTCCCACTGGTAACTGACAAACAGAGGGAAAACAACAATTATATTCATAAAACATTTAAATTAAGAGAGTAAGTGTTTCTTTGTGACAGCATGTGCAGCAGGTGTTCGTAGTGTCTTGGCTGACAGACCACAGAGACAACCCTCCAAAGAAATGGGGGCAGGAACACCAGCTCCTGAGACAGAACAGGGGAAGCATAGGATGTTCTCAGATCAACAGGTTCCAGTCTTGAATGCAACACATTCTTGTGTTAAGAGTCCCAGCAGATGAATAACACAGGAAGCTATACAGAACACTGCCTCATTTAGGGTTTAGTTGCCTTGTGCAAATCAGGAACTGGTGTCGTTTTAGTTACTCTGGATGTGTTTTTGTGTTTTACTGGTAAAAAAAAAGGTCAGACGCTCAGGGCCAGAAAGACAAAGCTCCTCGGTCTGTCTCAGAGCAATCTGATGCCCAAAACAAATCAGGAGAGAACTATTAGGCAGCTGATGTACCAAACACCTCTAGTGAGCATTCTACAGTTTCAATGCATCACAGCTGTTACTGTATGCTTGTCCTTCCCACAAAGCAGGGCTGAACTGATTTTCTTAGGGGGTAGGATGGTGTGCGCGGGGTGATGCTCGTGAAGCAGAAGGGCTCATTTCACCTGACTGTGCTTATGAAATAAGCATCTGAAAATGAGATAATCCAGAAAAAACATCTCTTCCTCAGTCACATATAAACCACACAAAGTCAACCCCCTGCAGTTATCAGGGCAAGGCTGCCCCTCTGCAGTGACCCAGGAGCACCATAACACTATAAATCCCTTCCAGAGTCCTTATTCAGCCATTTCCACTCCTCTGAGGCTATCAGTGCAAACCTCAGCTCTTTCCAGCACATTCCTGCTCCCATGATAACCTCCCAAACACATACCCTACAAATCTTCCTTCTACATCAAGATTTCCCATCAAATCCTAACACCCCAGTCTGTTCCCACACCTTAAAGACTTTCCTATGCCCTCCAGCATCTCCAGAGTTTCTTTTCAATGAAAGATCAAAGATTCAGAGTATTCCGTGTAACTCCCAAACCTGTCTGCACAATAAACTTGCTAGCAGCAGCTAGGACCAGTGGCAAGTCCTTTCTGTTTACAGTACCCCAACTGTCCTGCCATGCCCTCTGTAAACCAGTATCAGCCTCACAAATCTCCTTCTCATCTCAGTTGGCTCCATTCATAAGCTGTAGTTCAAGCTTGCAGAGAACTCTGAGATACTGCCGATCCAAAAGAAAGCACAGAACAAAATTCTAAGTGCATTTATTTGCTCACACAAAAAAGCAGTGCCCTACTGAGGAAAGAGACCTAAGAACTCCTCATGATAAAATTACTCCTGGCAACTGATCAGAATTTTACTTTCTCCAAAACCCTATAAAGCAGACAAACCCTGGAGCCTAGTAGTCTCAAGGGAATGGTGAAATTCATGGAATGCCCTCTCACCAAATGAGGCACTGCATCCCTCTATGGATTTTGAGTCATTTTTAGTAACGTGTTCCAATTCAATGAAATTAGTCTGTTCTTACCCCAGCTGTTACTCTCTGGACCCACTGCACCTTGGATTCCTAAGGAGATCTTCTCTATCCTCTCCTGATGGTCACCTCATTCTTCCCTTTGTCTTGCACCATCTTTGTTTATCCAGAATAGCTATTTCATCAGCTAAATCTCCAGCTGGAAGGAAAATGGGAATTTGAGTAGGGAAGTTAGGAAAAAAATGTTAAATTTTAACTTTTCAAATGACTCTTGCTCTGTGTAGTTTGGAAGAGGTGCATTTCTCAAGAGTGGAGAGCATATTTTATTCATGGGATTTTAAAACTTCTTTTTCAGTACAAGGAAGGAAGCCTTGCAATCATGAAACGAGAAACAAGAATTCCAAAATTCTGTTCAAAAGGCTCACGCTCCCCCCCAACAACTTCAGAAACATCTTCTGAAGGTCCATCTCAGACATATGTTTGCCAGAAGGCACGCAGCATGTGGTGCAATTGCCCTCCGCTCCTTCCTGTGACTACAGACTTCCAATTCCATACAAAACATGCTGCCTTCTTACAACCACTGCACATCCTCCTACACACATCCCGTGGCCCTTTTTCATTTGAAATCTAGATCACTAATGTTGAAAGGGACTGGATACAGTTGGGAGACAACTCAAACAGCCACAGAAAAACTGATTTCAGGACATCTGGAAACTCTAAGTTTGCATGGCAATCTTACTTTGGCTGGGCAGGATAGTTTTCCAGAGGGACAATCTTAATTTTGTCACATCAACATAGATCAATTCAATTCCTGTGGCAACCAAGCAAGAAGAACCCACAATTGAGTGTGAAGAAGCTCAGGAAACAATAGAAAGCAACCAACCTACATCAGCTGTTGAAAGTCTGATGCAACGTGGCATAAAACATCCCTTTACAATGACAACTAAAGCTCAATAGGAGACACTTCTGCACTTGCCTGTGTTCCAGCACATGAGCTATACTGGTATTTTCCCACACTTCCTTCCCTGCTCTGCTTCTTTGTGAACCTAATTGTTATTGACATGAATACCGGATGTAATCTTGTGTTATTCTTAGAAACATTTCAGCTCCCAGCTGAGGCCTAAAGAGATCAGATCCCCGTTTTTCAGACTGAATTCCTCTGCTGCTGTTTCAGGAGCCCAGAGGAGTCATCCTGCACAGAGCCGACAGAAATATTCCATCAAGGAAGATAAAGAGCAACAAGATCCCAAGGCACCCTGCAGAGGGCCTGCCTACAGCATCAGTCATAGGGAAATGGTCATGTATTTGCTAATGGTGCTGGAGTGACAATCCACACCTCTGACGTTAGACTATGTGGTAGAGCCATGCCAAGAAAGCAGCAGTTCAATTAAACTGTGAAGTCTACTGTTCTATATAGTTGCCTGTCCTTCTGCTAAGGATTGCGGTGACAAACGCATCCTCTTACCCAGCTTACAGTAAGCTTTTTACTAGCCAAGAGCAGTCATGTACTTTGGACACATTCAGTATTATAAACCACTCTTCACCTTCATTCAGACAGACTGGAAAAAAAAGAAAACTTTCTTCAAATAAAACTTAATTTTCATTCTAATAATTCACAATATTTAAAATAAACATGGACAGAGAACACACAAACCTAGAGTGCCATTCTCCAAATACAGAAATGCAGCTCCACTTTCCTTCCTAAAAATGAGATTATTTGGGTTCTGAAATGTTAGTGAGGAGACACAAGGAGGAGCCAGGGTTGTAGGCTGACACTTCTGATATTTTTAGCTAAGGAAAAACTCTTGATCCTCAGAACTGCCAGACTTCTAACTTTCTAGTAGGACCATTATTGCCCATCTCCCTGGAAGGCTGATGGCAAGGGGCATAGAGTAGGCATAGAGTATTTGTCTGGAAAACAAAGACTGGAAAATATTTAGGTAGAATACAAGCTAACATGGCACTCTGCTGCCCTTGAGCTACCACGGCTTCATAGGTGATACAGAAAATTACTAAGCTGCTGTGAAACTCCTCTACGACAAATCATATCAGTGCATACCTTTGCTGTAGCAGATTTGCCTGCTCTCTTACACACACTACTGCAGTTTCTAAGCAGACTTCTACTAACACTGACTGCTTCCAGCTCCTCAGAGTATCTTCTAACCAGACAGACTGAGATCTGTTGGCCTCTGCACTGCTGGGACACATCAGGCTTCACAGCAAAGCACATCAGGAAAAAACTGAAACCACAGGAGAAAAAGATGTTCAGACTGAGCTGGGATTCCAAAAGTAAGTAGGTATGTCTCATCCTGTGTCATTCCCCACCCTGCCTTCCCATCAAAAAATAAAGAAAATGTATCCCACAGACTTTTGAGTGAGAATGACAACTTCGGACCATGGAATTAATTTGTACTCTGGGAACCAGGGCAGGCACAGACACAGAGGTAAAAGCAGTAGCCAGACAGTGCCCACCAGCTTGCAGATACCTCACACCTGATGATTCTCCACTGCACCTCAGGGCAGGGCCACCCCTGGTGATGAAGACCATCCGTGCTCTAGCACCAAGTCCTGCTGACTGTCCTTTTGCTAAGGGAACTCCATATTAGTCTCAGTTTTCATTATTTGTTGGATAGAGCGGAGAACTATGAGGTTACATTTGTCTTGTGCATCTGGAACATTGAGCGCCCAGGGAATGGATATGAGTTCTTGTTCATCTTTATAACTTAACACAATGGAATCTAATCAAGACAAGAAAAAACATCCGAGCAACCTGTTGCACTATAAGCTTTAAAAACATGAACTGAAAGACAAAATGTCATGGTTGAAGGTATCCAAAGCTCCCATCAGGTAAATTCCTTTCTTGTCCAGGCAGCTGATGGCATCCTTCCTGACCAATAGATGTTGCTATCTTCCTTCCATTTGTTGCAGGGCCAAATAATTAGATGCTCCTCCTTGTTGCTCTTACAATCAAGTGAATGCTTTCAGCCATGGTTTTATTTCTGTTGGTAAAGACAGCAAAACAGATGTACAACCACAGACACACAGTATAGCGTAATGTCACGATATGCCCTGCTTCAGCAGTCTCCCAGTGCTCAATTTGGAATGCCATCTTTGACCCTGTCACTGCTCTTGGTGACAGGTCATCGATGGTTTACATGTCCCTCCTTTCTCAGTCTGTTTCAATGGTCTCTTGGCTTTTTCTCCAGTCTAGTATTTAGGATTGCCACAAATGTCCTGGGTAAGGACCCTTTCCTCCACAGTAACTTGAATACATGTCTCTCCCCCCGCCCCCCAGCCTCATCTTCTGCCGTGGCAGAGGCTGCCCATGGAAAATAAAATAATTATACCAGGAAGACTGTGAACGATTCATCAGGAAACATCAGCTGCTGCAAAGGCTGTGCTTTCTAGATCTGAGAAAGATACCTGGGCATCTATTAACTCTTCATGGTGAAGCTCCCTGTTCACGCACGTATCTGAGAGAATCCCATTTTTGCAGGAACGTGGGAGATGCCCATTTGTCTCCATGTCCAGAGCACTTCCATTCTGGTGCCATTCCAAGACAGCTTTGCATTTGTTTAAGTCCTGCTTTTCAGGATCCCTGTGGATCTCTCCATTGGTGTACACTTCTAACGCATACTCACTGATTCGTATGCTGGCGTTCTCTCCATCCCCACCATGCGTGGAAGTCCTAATGCTGGCTGCTCCTGCCTTGAACTGCTCCTTCCTTCCCAGGATATGCTGGCTGATGATTTTACGGAAGGTGTATCGGAACTCCCTGATTCGGTAGGCATAAATTAGAGGATTAACAACCGAGTTGGCATGAGACAGGATAATGGCTAGATACATCAGCCAGAGGGGAGCATGGGCACAATTTGGGCAAAAAAGGGTGAAACAGTTAATAATATGTAGTGGAAGCCAACAGACTGCAAACAAGCCAACAATGATGGCTAAAGATTTGGCCGCGTGGACTTCCTTCTGCAAAGTGGAACGTGAGCGTTCCCCATGCACCATCTTGTTCTCCATCTGCTTGAGCTGCCGTCGAGCTGCCATGAAGATTTTCAAGTAGATGCCAAACATGAGGAGAAGAGGCAACAGCACACAGGCAAAAAAGTTGTAGTAGACCATGTACTCCATGGTGACCACAGCCTCAAAGAGACATACCACCATACTGTTGCTGCAGTTGATGGGAGAGGACTTATTAGCACCCAGCTCTTCAATCTGGGAACGCTTGTGCCACCCTAGCATTGGTGTCAAGCCAATGATGAAAGACAATACCCAGCAGATGGCAATGATACCTTTGGCTCGAGAGCCTGTTACCAAGCCATTGTACCTGTAAAGCAGAGGAAAAAATGAGAATTACACCAGTGTCATTCAACAAGTCCTTGACACCCAGACAATGGTCCAGTATCCTAGAAGGAAGAAAACAGCAAGAAAGGCATCTATTTCTTCAGCCAGGCCTTTGAACTGCTGTGTAGAACCCACCCAGCCCAGGATGGGCTCCATAGTGACACTGCATGCCATCTACTTTCCTCCTTGCTCCTTTACGCAGTGGATAGGCTACAGAAAAGCAGGGAAATTAAAATGGTTCATTCCACCATGCCACTCGGTCATGCATGCAGATCTTGCAGCCTGAATAACTGGCACCACTGTTCTGACCCTTGGTGGTGAAGGCCACTATGGCTCCTCTGCCAAAGGCATAGAGATGGCTCCTCCATTCCGCCAAGGAAGCAGGCTTCTGGCACAGAATTCCTATGCCTGTCTCACCGTTAATCCATCTGTAAGCCAAACAGCACCAAAGGACTGGAGGCACAGTGCCACTGGCCCCGTAACCTAGCTGGGTTCCAGGGAAAATCTGTTGCTGACTGAGTTGCAGAGGTCATGCTGGCATTCCCCTGCACACTACCTCACTTTGCTCCCGCTTTCAACAAGTCCTGCATCACCAGCCTTCCTTAAATAACCGAGACAAGGCCAGCAGTTTTCCTCACCAGCCCAGCAAAGCTGACCCCATATCTTTCTCATAAAATAGGAGTTAAGCTAAGGAGAGTGCTTTGACCACAGGTATACTGTGGGCTGCATTGCACACACCAAAAGCAACCTCAGTGATGAAGATACTGATATACCTAGCTCAACTCAGAGCTCCTAGCAATAAATCCACCAAGATCTGTTGAACAAGACAATAAGCAACATGGTAAGAACCTGACAGGGCAGCCAGGGACCTTTGTTTGTTTGAAATATCAGCCAGTTCCCAAGGCCTCACAGGTTACTGCGAGTCCTGAGCTGACTCCACCAGTTCTTCTCTCTGAAAATGTAAATCAGGGCAACAGTTTAACATTTCAATGCAATTTCCTTTACTTGGTAACACTTAGCATAGAAAGTAGATGGCTGGATTCCCACATTGTCCAGTGTGGGTCCCACACTGCATTTGACCCCATGTTGTCTGCAATTGGACCACAGTAGCTCTGGGCTACCAGTGTTGTTTACCCAGTTCTCCTTCTCCCTCTGTCTCCAGAATTCTCTCAGCAAAATAAACATTAAAAATAATAATAATAATCTAACCAGCCACAGAAATCTTTCCATCCCTCAATGAGATAGCCCCTCCCACAGGTTCATGCTCCTATCCTAACACCAGTTCAGAGCAGGGGAAGGGGGATGCTGCTTTCCCCAGGCACAGCAATGAACGGTGATTTTGCCTGCACTTAAAATTCCTGCTGGTGGGCTCTGGAAACAACCTGGCTGATATAAAACCTGGCAGGCTCCATCCTCCATTCCACAGCTGCATTTTAAAATCAGAAAAGGAGGAACAGCTGAAGAAGCCAACCACAATTCCTGGCACTCAAAATACACTGAAATTCACCTTCCATAAATTACAGAGGGATTCAGTTGATCCTGGGACATAAAAAGTTCCCTCTAGCAAGAGGTGGATCCTACTCAGTGCCTATAGGAGGCTGAGAGCACGGCATGGATGCTAGCTGAGAAACTGCTTACATTCAGAGCTAATTAACACAGCGAAACAGCATCTGTGCTTTGAAAAATACCCTTGGGGAACAAGAGGTTGGCCAAAGGCACTTGGAGCTTTGGAAAAAAAAGAAGAAAAAAAAAAAAATCACAAAACCCTCCAGCCCTGGAATTGGCTACATCTTGTCAGAGGAATTTTGAAATTGTGCAGCTGTTATCCCACGACTAGAGATGTCCCATCCCTTCCACTAAAAATACATTCATCATTGCTCCAGGCAAACAACTCCCCTCCACTCCACTCCAGCTTCTCCCTCCTTCTTACCCTCTGGGGATTCCTATGCAACAAACTTTACAAGGCTTAGGAACAGCACTTAACCCAAGCAGCCTTCTGCTTCCCAGCTGCACTGTACCAAGTTGGCAGTGCTATCAATTTATCAGTACATTTCTATAATGCTCAGCATCTCCATGGGCTAAGAGCAAAAGCTCACAACACCATATGTAGCAGCTCTCAGGGTGTCTTTCTGGCCCCCAGGCCAAAACTGCTGCCTGTACCCACAGTGCTGTACAGCTCTGGATGATAAGGTCAGGGCTTTCAGGGAGCATCATGCAATTTGAGCTGCTGGCATCCTGATGCAGGAGGTGCAACCCGCTGAAAGGAGATGCTCACACCTACAGCCCATGCTCTTGCATAGCTGGACAATGACTTTGTAGCGTGTCTCATGTGTCCAGACAGCACTGGATTGCCTGTGCACAAGCAGTTCTCATGCTTCCTGGAAATACTGGACTTGCTACACAAACAACAACTGCTGGTGAAACTGCAGGCACAGAGAACACATGTGAAGAGCAGAGACACTCAGGGTGGAGGTGGGTGTGGGGTTGGAGTACCTGGCTCCTCCATAAAGTGCAAATACCTGCAAGCATGGATGTTTTACCCCAGATAATTTTGCCTGCCCTGCTGCTCTCCCAGCAAACCAGTGCATTGTCTCCAGTAGAGCAGCTGCTCTTATGAATGCACAACTCCCCTGTGCTGCCTAAATTAAATTGGCTGAAGATGTGATACCTTATGATCCCCCACCTTAGCTCTGCTATCAAAATAATGACTAAAGCAGAAAGTGTGGCGCATCACCTGTCTGACCTGTAAGTCTTGAAGCAGGGTGGAAGGCAGAGCTGGTATGAGAATCACCGGGTCCTCAGACAGAGGTTAAAATCCTTCCATACATTGTGTGATTCATAGCTGGTCTAACTCATCATCCCAGCTTCTGCTTGGTGTGCTGCTTGTCTTCCAAACTCAGCCCTGGCTGACAGCGTGGCTCCCCTCAGCCAAAACTCCCCACCACGTGCAGAACTCACATCTGCCACTGTCACTGCATCGCAAAGCGACGTGCTGCACGTGGAGGGCACTGCACTTCCATCTGAATTCCAGCAGTGCTCAGTGCTTCAACAACTCACTGCAGACACTGTTCACTCAGCACAGTGCCCAACAGCCCACACACCCCTGGCAGCTGCAGTTGCAGGAGGATATTCTAGCCCTGTAACACATATCTGAAAATGAGAGATGCTGACAATCCCAGATGACTTAAGAAATCTCAGAGCAGGATATCAAACCCAGACCTTCCCACATGCCACTCAAACAACTATTTCCCAAAACTGTCAGTTAAGGAACATCCTCCCTTGTTACCTGAAGATACCTGATACTGGTACTTAATCATGCTATGGGGATGGGATCCCACAGCCAGGCACAGGGCTCCGAGCAGTAGAAGCAATGGCAGTGGGCAGGCACTGCTCTTTTGCTCACAGCACTACCAGCTTCCAGACCACAATTTTGGCAGCAGCAAGTTCCACCACACACAAAGCCATAGACAACTCATGCTGCTCTCAAAGCCGTGCCCGTGGTTGTAAGAAGGAGAAAGCAAATTATTATTTCGTATTGGGATGAATCTGCTCACAATCTATTTGACAAAATATGAGCGCTTGTAGGAAATGCTTGGCATAAGGTCAAAAGGCTTATGGTGAGCAGGGAAAGAAGCAAGTGGGTCAAAGTGGCAATAAAACATTAAACCGCTGATTCAGATACTCATCTACGACCATTTAAGAAAGTCAGCTGTCTCCAAAGTACCTTCCTTCAGAGGACAAGGTCTCTACTTCCATCTCCTGCAGTTGGCACCTCAAGACAAGCGCATGGATTTATGCCACAGGCCCACACCTGAAGCCAGCACATGGAGCAAGCAGTAACCTGAGAAAACTTTTCTGTTTAGTTGCAGGAAGAAACACCTCTCCTTCCAGTGCATCAGAGCTACCTGTCCTTCAGCATGGGAATCTCTGCACCACCAGTGCATGCACAAGAGCACGTGGCTGGGCACGGTGCCCTCGGAGCATTTCCTGGCACCAAAGAGCCTGGAAAGTGGCAATTGTTCTTGGCCCGTGACTTCATCCCGGAGCTCAGACTCGCAGCCAGTTTTGTTTCAAACACCCAGGGGTTTTATATCAGTGAGTGCAGGTTTTCAGGTACCTGCCATGCTAGAGACAGTTTGCATTTAGCCCTACACAGAACAATGGCTTGGCCTCACTTCCTTGGGAGTGCTTTGTTGCCGCTTTCAGAGAGCTGCACTCTCTGAGCCACTTACAGAGAGCTGGCAGGATTCAGCAAATGTTTGAGAACTTTTTTTTGAAATTCTGCAAAATGTTTTGATTATTTGACAATTAACAATTTTTTTCTTCTATTTTTAAATGTTACCTCTACATGCCTTTCCTCACTGCCATTCCTCGGGGAAGGTTCATTTAACCACAGAAAAATCATTCCAAACTTAACACCAATTGCGTACTGAGGTGTCCAAAACCAAGCAGAATAAGAAATCTCATTCTTCTGCCTCCTTAATGCTTATGGCTTATTTGTGTGGGTGTACACAACTACACAGATATCCATCGAGGTGCATGGTTGCCTTAGGACAAATTGGGCATGGAACAGTTAAATGAGGAGAAAAAATAGGTTTGGTGCTTTCCCCCCTTCCCCCCTCCCCCATATAGGAAGGAGATCCCGTTTATTTGTAAGAGTATTTATCTAAATTAATATTGGGAGTGTCTGATGTTAGGTTTCTTACCCTCTGAAGGGGAGAGAAGAGGTATGCTCCTCAAAGGTCTTCCCATTAAAGAACGCAAAAGTGTTGCATTTTTAGTGGGAGAACTTTCCTTCCATTGGTTTGATGCATATTTGAGACAACCAGGTATTAGAAAGTAAAAGGTGAGATGTGAGCAGTCTGAATCATACTGCTTCTCCCTCTTGGGCTAATAGCTTTCACTTTCTCAGCATGTCAGAAGCTATAAATCTAATGTTTATTCACCCATAAACTCTTCTGAGGAAAACAGAATTGACAACTTCTTCCTTCCCTTTGTAAAAGGACAAACTAATAGAGGACGAGGAGGAGGAACCCACAGATCTACCTGTTGGTTTCTGCAGCCAATCAACTCCACTGCTTCTGGGCTGAAAGAGGGTGTGCTCTGTTATTTCTAAAACAAAACAGTGAAACAGGTAGAGTGCCCAGTGCTGGGTGAGTCAGAAAGACTTCTTCTGAAAGATACTCTACTTTGGCTAGTCCAGAAAGTTAAACTTTAAAGATAATACAGCTGCAATGCCAAAATAATAATAATAATAATAAGCAGAAATCCAAATATTTAAAATCCCTTTCCTGGAAAGTCATTCTCTGACCATATGAATGCTTAAACTTTCCAAAGTTTCCAGAGTTCATTTGCAAGAGATTGAAGACATTTCACCTTTTCACAACCAAGTCAGATGCAAGCTACCAAAGGCTGCTCTCCATGTGCTTCCTTGTGTATTTATTATCACGCTCATTTGTGAACTGAAAACATTTGTCAGTAGAAATGCAGAAAAGTGAGAACAGTCCAATTTATAGGTACTAACATTGATAGTTTTCCTCTGCAATGGAATAGACTCACTTCTTACGACAACACAAAAAGTAGACCGTTACACAACTGTAAGTTTGGAAATCAGCAATTAACAGCAGTTGAGATGAGCCTTCAGGAATGACTATGCTGCACTGCTCCACATGGAAAGGTAGAGCAGGGAATGGGAGATTTAAGTTAACCATTGTAAGTGCTGGGTGAGCAATGTATTCAGAATGGACAAAACTAAACTAGACAGGCTGGCAGAAAGAGATTTAAACTCAACAGCAGTGAGGATAACCAAAACCCCCAAGTTGAGAGGACAATAGTGAGAATTTTGTTCCATTTTTGCAGTCCTATTTATTACTCAACAGGATAGGAAGTCTCTCCACTGGTGAGAGCGTGCTGCGTCCTCCTAAGGACAAGATGGGAAAGAAGGAGGCTCCTATGCTCTGCCAGCCTTGGTCTCTCCCAGGGCTTCCTCTGCATCTCGAGCTTGCTGAACAACTCTCAAGCACTGCCACAAAGCATTCAGACCCAGCCCACAAAACACAGTGCTGTTTTGCACCCAAAGGCAGATGTATCCAAATACAGTGCAGAAGGCTGAACTGAGTAACAGCCCCTGCACACATACTAAAACTCCTCCTTGTCCCAAATCCTCCCTGGCTGCACACCAAGTTTCAGCTAGTCACATCCAGTTTCCAAACTCAAGTATTTAAATCATAGAATCATAGAATGGCCTGGGCTGAAAAGGACCACCATGATCATGAAGTTTCAACCCCCCTGCTATGTGCAGGGTCGCCAACCACCAGACCAGGCTGCCCTCTAAACTCCAAAGTGGAGACCATAGAACAACCACCTTCAAGGCTGGCATGGGGACAAGCCCTTCTCTTGACCTAATGCATGGGTGTCCAACTTTTTTGGCCTGCCTGGGCTGCATTGAGTGAAGAGGAATTGTCTTGGGCTGCATCTACATATGTTGCTCCGAAAGTAATGCCTCCTGATTATTTCGATGGAAAATACTGCTGATATGAAAAGCACAATAATACTCCCTGATAGAACAACTTCTCAGCTACAAAACACTATTTTTAACATAGGCACCATCATTAGCTGCTCATTCTTCCTAGCCATGAATAAGAGCCTGTATGCTATGCCCATAAATATCTGCACCAGTGGAACAGACTCACTGTCCTTAAACTTCATAAACATCCAACAAGTATCAATGCATATCAATGGGGGCCATTTTTTTCCTCATGGAGGAATCCGATTCCACACCTTTGTTTCATTCACACTTCCATGCCAGATGCCATTTGTCACAGTGCCCCTCTGCTGCCATCTGTCACACAGCAATGGAATCAAACAGAATATTGGTGGGAAGGTTTATTCTCTATGGCCATCCCACCAGCATCTGCCTCTGACATCACAGGCCAACATCATTAAACAGGAGGCCTTACTTTTGGAGCAGCCTTTGTAAAATATACAATATGGGTAATATATAAGTAACAAGACATTTATTTTTTACATTTTAATAGAAAGAGAGCAACAAATGCATAAAACTAGTGGGATATTTGGCCTTGTTTTTCTGAAACTAACTGGTTCAGTGACAGTGGCTGCCAGTCTCAGTGAGCTCTCAAGGTGTCCATCAGAGATTTTTGATGAAATGTTACTCTTCCTGCACTTCATCCTTGAAAACAGCTGCTCATAAATGTCTGTACTGTCAAAAGAGGATGACATGAATAAGGTGTGGTTGTGAGGGATATTTCTCTCTGATAAGAGAGGGCTTATAGAAGTCCAGTAAAGAGACATGATCAAATTGTGGAGTTGAATATCAGATTGCAGCTGTATACATTCCATTCGAAAATTTGCAGGTCGTGTATTTATAACAACTGAAAAAGGAGTTGCAAACATAAATTGATGATTTTTCTTTTTGAAATCTTGGAATCTATTCTCAAATTCCTGTATCAAAATGGAAAGCAATGCTGTGTGTTTTTTCACTGTTCACGTGACTGTGTTCAGGCAGCCCATCAAAATGCATAACATTATTTGCCATCACTTGAGTCAGCCCTGCACTGTGCCCTCCCTGTGCCCTGGTTTCAGCTGAGGCAATGTTAATTGCACACTGATGTGCTTTGGCTGTTGCTGAGTGATGGGTGCTCACGCAGGGCTGGCCCAGACGCTTGGTGGGGAAGAGAAATCACCTGTATAGTGTGGGCTCTGAGTGGCCACATGCTGCTTCTCTTCTCTTCAGCTCCACTTTCCTGCAGCACTTGTATTACTGGCCAGGACTCAGAGCACAGGTTTGTGAGTGTACAGTGTGCTCCTTTCTAAATATGGAGCAGCAACTTACAAGCAGCTCCACTGCAAAGCTTTGGGCATGTGCCATATGAGGGCTGGGTAGAACAGGAAAGAAATCACTCACAAATCCAGCAACCAAGGCAGCCCCCAGGAATGCGGGTTTCAGTTTGTTTTCTCAAATTACAAGGTGAAAAATGCTGCTGCTCATTAGCTCTCTCTTCTGCAGTTTACCTCGAAATCTGCTTTTACTGATGCTCATTCCCCACTAAGTGCCCCCTCTGCTTTTCAGCCCACTCTGCTTACCTGAGGGGTATGCGGATGGCAATGATTCTGTCGATGGCAATAGCAAGCAGGCTGAAGATGGAGCTCTGTGTCAAGACCAGGACGAAGCAGGCGATGAAAAGGCAGCCATAGAAGAAGGCACAGAAGCCAGTGCTGATGGTGATGGCAAAGGGGATTGCCAGCACTCCCACCGCAATGTCAGCAGCAGCCAGGGACACCACAAAATAGTTGGTGACGTTCTGCAGGTTGCTGTTCAAATAGACCGCCCAGCAGACCAGGACGTTCCCCAGGATGGCCAGCACCGCAATGATCAGTTCCAGGATGATGTAAGCTATGTCTGAGAGGAAGTCTTCTTTCCCATGTACTAGCATGGTGAGAGCGACCAGGCCAATGTGAGAACGTGCCAGAAAAGCTCAGCGTTCATATCTGCAGAGCACTGAACAGCCAAAACACCTCGAAGCTGTCTGCAGTCTGCAGAGCGCTCGGCGGCTGCCGCGAGGGTGGCTCACACATCCACCTCTCTGCACATGGCTGCTGGATGTCTTCACAGGAACAGGTGTCAAGAGGAAAGAGACAGGGCTCGCTAGCTTCGGCAAGGTGGAGTGACCAGAACACAGAGCAATTCAAATTCTTGCAAGACGAATGGACAGAAGTACACCTCGTGTAGTCAAACACTGCTCCCCAGGTCACAGAGTTCAGCTGGCAACATGACACAGCAAGGGCTCTGCACGTCAGCGTCACATCGGCTGTGAAGTTTTGTTTCCTGTTGACAGTCACACTGCTAGTCATGGCTTCCTGTCAGACATACCTACTGGCAACATCCTCCGTTCTCTTTCCCTTTTTCTGCCCAAGACTTGGGAAACTTTCTCTTCAGCCGAAGCAAACATTCAACTTCTCTTGTAGTTTCCTTAAAAAAAAATAAAATAATAATAATAACCAAAGAAAAACCACATATGCTAAGTAATCAGCTCTACGGCGGAGATGGAAAAAGCAAAATCTCATTAGAGTGGCACATTAAATTGATAACGGATATTAAACAGACCAAGAAGAATACATCATTGGCAAAAATCTCACATTCTGCCTATCCTGAAAGCTGCAAAGCCAGACCCAAGGCTCAGGAAGGCAGCATTTCGCAGTGGTGATGAGAAACAAGAGATGTTTTGTTTTTGAGGCTACCAACTGAGCTGGCACTTTTGCAGCTGCTCGATAGTCTGCCCTGAAACATGAGAGCCCCATTAATTACGCCTTGGCAAGCTCTGTGGCTGCCCAGAGGAAAGGTGGAGGAGGCTTTTACATACACCTGTCTCCTTCTGATCACAAACACAGGCTCAGGCCATCACGTGCAGCCCACCCTCACATACCTTGCACAAAGGAGTGCTGCACCAGTACACAGCCCAGCAATGGCATGAACGCTCATTCATAAGAGGGTTATGCTGCTGGCACATGCATTCACTCTGTTCCCACACCCTGTTTTTCCTCCAAGTGCATGCATACTGAAATGCAATTGGCAGCAGGGAGAATAAATAGCTCAAGGCATGTCAGACAGCAGTGTCAGTACTTCCCTGCTGGGAATGGACACATCCTACAAGGGTCTTTAGGTTGCCCTCCTGCAACACCATCTTCTTGCTCACATAAATTTTATCCTATAGGCAAACCATTTTGTTTGCTAAACCAGCATTGTACGTAGTGTTGTTTTTTTGTTTTGCATCCATAGATTCTGATACACTTCACAGAGAAAGTCAACTTGATTCTGCATCTCCTACCAGCCAGGAACACATCCAGGATATACCCCTGCTAGAAATGCACACATAGGCACAATGCCATCACCGTATCCCAGAGTGCACATTCATATTCCTGCATCACACACAAACCCGGGACTCACCATGGTGCAGGGTAACACTACTGCTACAGATGCTGTTTCACAGGAATAGGTACACACCACCTACATGCTTGTGTGCCTCATTTGCACGCTGATCCTGCAGGTATCTCTGCTTTCAGTAATGCGTGCATTTCACCACAGTTTCAGCGAAAAAAACTGCCAACAGAAAATACAGTTTTCTGAGATCCACGCCACAGTCAGTAGAACTGTTTGCTGTGCTACCCTGTAACTTTCAGACTGGGTTTTAAACCTGGTTTAGCCAGGCTTAGTAGCAATACTTTCTCACTCATTTCTGAAAGCAGCGACTGAAACCATCGGAGGGCTGGGAGAGGGGCAGATGTAGCACTGGCTAATAAACGACTAACTCAGGTTCTGAGGCAACACACAACTCCAAAGCAAATGATTTTTGGTACCTCATCCACTAGTGATGGGCTGTGGCCTAACCCAGCAGGTTGCATGCCTTCACAGTTCACTGTTTTGAAGTCAGAAACCTAATTTCTCAGGACAAAATAAAAGGGTAAAGACAGTGATAATAAAAGAAAATATGATTAACTCGTGATTCACATCTGATCTCAGGAATATAATCTAATTTTAGACCTTTCATTGATTTAGTGCTCTACTGCTAATGCAGCATTTGAAAGGAAAGTAAATGGCTCTTGGTGGCTTGGATACGTTTCAAAAACCCAGCTTTTCCTTCACCTCCAACAATCTTTTGTATGTTTTGTTTGGTTTGCGTGGAAGAAATGAACAGAATAGATTAGTTTGTGATATAGCTATTAAGAGGGAGATAAAGATCATCCATTTAATCTTTTCTAAAGAACAAAAACCCCAAGAAGTCTCTATATTGTTTATCTTCCTTTAGCAAAAACCCTGTTTTCCACTGACCTCCCACGGATTGCTTCTACCTTTTGGAATTTCAGGGTTGTTGGCAATGTGTTCTTACATCACTTCTCCAATGTCTGATTGTCCGTTTCAAGTCCCAATAGGTTTGTTTCAAGGCACTGATAATGAAATCTCCCCTGCAGCCTGCCTTCCAGAAAAGGAGATCAGAATATCAGATAGGGACAAAGAAAATCAGGAGGGAAAGAAAACAAAGACAGAAAATAAACGACAGCACTTTGTGTAAGAGAGAAAGACAGGGATGGGCGGGGGAACGGCAGGATAGTTGGCAAAAGCCAAAGAAACAATCAAAGGGAAAACAAGAATGTAAGAGAAACACCTTGTGTTTGTTAGATGTGTGCAGGCTCCCATGTCCCACAGAACCACGGCTGCAGAGATGGTGATGGGGTAACTAAGACTGTCCGTGAAACAGGGGATACTCTTCCCAGTGCTAGAGTTTCCTTTGGTTGGATTATGAATTATTAATCTCTCCTGCTTTTTGTTTTACCTGGCTCTTTCAGTGGCTCACCTCAAACTCATTTTCCAACAGGACATGAAGTACAGCAACACATCTGCTCCAAAGAGGTCCTCTCATACCAATTATTCAGCACAAAGATGATGCTGGAATTACTGACAGTTCTGCACATGTTCTGAAAAAGCACAATGCTGGAATCTGAAGCTTAATGACCACACTACATACTGTTTTCTAATACAGCAGTTTTCAACCTTCTAGTTCAACAGTTTATTTCAGTCTTGTTTTAACCTTTCAATTTGGCTTTCAATTTGTTTGGCCCCTTGTTTCCCATTCCCTTTCACAACCAGTGGGCTAATTCTTCAGCCTAGCTATTTATTGAGAAGCAGTCTGCAAGATGTTGTGTCCAGAGGAGGACATGTCCTTCCACCCCAATCTGCTCCCAGATGGACTGGAAAACACTTAGAGTTCTGCAGAGCCAGCATATCTCAGAAGAGAAATGACCAGAGCTGAGCAGGTGTCCCAGTCACAACCAAACAACATTTTGTGTCTGCATCAGCACCAGTGCTTCTGCAGTAGCAGCTGCTGCTGGAAGCAGGAATTGCTCACCACACAACACCAGCACATCAGTGCTCTCACTTACTACTTACGGAGGTGTCACCATTCAGGGGGCTCCCACATCACCCCAGACTTCCCTTGTGTCTCACTGACCTCTCACAGTGCCAGCCAGCTTTAGCTTGCAACAGCGTGATGCATCTTAAATTGCAGACCCGTTTGCAGCTCACTCTAAAACAAGGAAAGGGCCAATCTTCCTGTGCATATCACTAGAAATTCACTGCGTAGAGACAAAATGAAATACAGACCACCCAGAAAAGAAGATACATTACAAAATCACTGACTTCACGCAAGACTCAAAGGCTCAGCAACCAGGTCTGACAAGACAAAATTAATTAACAACTTGTTTTACTCACTGGGGAAGTGTATATTTAACAGCTCAGGCCCTTGAGGGATCAATATAGCAAGCCTCTTTAAACTTTAGAAGAATAATCTGTATCACACAGTCTGCTGGACAGCTACAATTAGTATTTCTTCTCAAGCTCATGTTTTGTCTTGTTAATTGGATTAATTCTTCCTTGATACCCTGGGCCATGTTCTGGCTTTTTCCCTGTTATTAAATAAACCTTTTTTTTTTTTTTTTTTTTTTTTTTTGCCACTCACAAACCTGTAAAGCTGTTGCTCTGCTCATTTTTAGCGACTTGGAACACTCTGTTCTCTCTCACATTTCAGCCCCAGTGAAAAACTGCACCTTGAAAATTCAATAAAGCACCTGCACAGCATGTTCCCATGAAGCAATTCACCAGTGGAGACCAAGCAAGCTTTTGTTTGGCATCTCCAGTTGGCTTTAGGCTAAGGTGCTGCTCCTTCATCCTTCTGATCACCTAAAGCATTGGAGTGAGCCCTTGGCCACTGCTTGCTTCCCACCACCCATCTCTAAAAAACTCACTCCCTGCTCTTGGTCCCTTCAGGTAGCTCACAGGGCCCTGGGGGAGCCCTCATCCAGCTTCACTCCATGGGTTGCCGTCCAGCATCTCTGTCAGACAATGCAGCCCTCCTCAGGTACCAGCTGCCTACAGATCACCTCCCTCTCTAGGAGAAAATCCTTCCATTCACACATGGCTGCAAGCACAGCATTACTGCTGCTAAAGCAGTCATTTCCTACTTTCTAAAGTCCTGAGGTGGGATGCTTGTTGCTTCTTATCCTCACTTAAAGCCCTTCAGCTCAAAAAGAATATCGCTATCTTTTATATTCAAGTTTCTTAGAAAGTTCTCTCTCCTCATTTCTCTAGAGGATCAAACCACAGTGAGTCAATGTGCACACAGGCACTACACCAATTCACAAAACAGCTCAGACTGTAAACAGAGTGAAAACAGGGAAGGCAGCAGCAGCACATTTCAGTGTTGCCTGCAGGTTTGTTTTCTGAACCCCAATACGTTTTATGAGCACACCTCATTTAGAGCAGCTCCCCTACAGCCCTGACCCACCACAAGAGGGCTGGAGACAGCCCCAGTGCTTCTCCTCCCTTAAGGATGGAGGAATGCAGTGGGGTGGGGCAGGAAAGAGAGGAGTAAGGAGGCATCACCTTACTAACCAAGCCACACTTGTTCTGGTTGCTCTATCTGCTTTATTATAGGCTCTTGGCTAAATGATCTTTAGGTCATCTGCTTACAGTAATAGGAGGAAATTAAATATTAATAATAGACTATTTCCCTCTAGACTGTTCTTTGTTAACAAAGGATACAAGTGAAACAAAGCAGGCAAAATTATCAGCACACCATGCTCTTGGTTTTCAGGTACCTGGAGCACTTGCAGACTCCCTGGATCCTCCTGGAGCAGCAGACATCCCATGTCCTGGCACACCTGCCTGCAGGGACACCCAGACAAGCGCACAACATGGCAGTATCTTGAAATCCTTCCTCTATTAAGGGACTCTAAATTGCAGCCTGACCCTTGTGGAACATTGTTTTAGACTTTATCCAAAACAACATCCAAGCCACTGATGCTCTGACTGAAAAAAATGCAGGGCTTTTCAATTGCAGAGCTCATCTCCCTTTAGGGAGTGAAGTCGTCGTACAGTGTGAACCCTGCAGCAGAGCAACACAAGAGCTTTGCAGATTATCCAGAAACACTGAACAAGATGAAGGCTTCAGTTTTGCTGAACTCAGGTGCTAATTCTCCCTTACAGGGAAACAGTAGCTCTCCAAGATCTAAAACCAGCACTCCAAGCACTTGTGAAGGGCAAAGGAAATGGTTCTTCAAAGGTCTGAACTGCTCCTGGCAAGGAAGAGGGACAACATTTCTTATGTTTCCATCTCTACTGCAGCTCAGGACCAAAATGGAGCGCATATCACATCAAGAACAAGCATGGTGAATTTGGGTGCCAAGTCTTTATCAATGAGGGTTCTACTAGAGATGCTGCCACTGTGATAGCAACACAACCCAGGAGCAGTTGTACTCCTCAAGCCTGTCCTGTGTCTCTGCTCTTCCTGTTTATTACTAACATAAAGTCACAAAGCAAAAAAAGTCCAGAAGGAGAAACCCCACTGGACAACAGAGGTCACAGCACCAATGAGCTGGCTAACAGGAACCGCGAATCTGAAACCAATACTTCAGCTTTGCCTCCTGCCCTCCAAGTGCTAGGAGTGGATTAATTTTTATTGCTGTAGCGGAAGAGAGGATTGGAACAGAACACATTTGACCATTATTTTTTCCTAAGTGGATGTTATAAATGTTTAAAAACGAGCAAGGGGAAAAAAAAAAAAAACAACCCAACAACAAAAACAACTCGTTGTAATTATTCCCATCCTAATGGTCACTAAAAGACAGGGAGGGCAAAACTAAATAAGGCTGAATGACCAGCAGTTAAATAAGCCAGATCAAACAAACAAACAGAAGGAAAAAGGCTCCCTCGTGCCCACTAGAGCAGGCACGATGACATCCTGCCAAGAGGCACAGAAACATGGTGGATTTTTAAGCAAACCATTTGCATCCAGGAGTGGTAATGCTGATCTACCTACAGTGTCATTTCCAAAAGTTAAAAACGGAGCACTTGAGTAAACTGTCATAAGGCAGACATGTAAAAAAGCATAATTAAAACAATGAATCCTGGCCAGAAAGAAGTTACTACTGCCAATATCGTTCACAATGTCTCTGAGGATCCATTTTTCCTTTCCTGTGTGAGGAAAGAACTCAAAAGCAAATTTTGCCTCCGCACAGCCCTACCACAACCAGCTGTGTTCACACATTAGAAGCATTTCCTTCAAGAACAAAAGAAAAGAAATGAGGAAAAAGGATTTCAAGAAGAGGTGACCCACTGAGGAATACAGGCTGGGGAGGAATTTGCTCTGAAAATACTTCTCCTATTGCTAATGAATCCATTCTGGTATATTTTAACACAGTAAACTTCTCTCCAGATGTGACTTCATCTTTCATTCTCATACAAAGTTTCCAAGAAGGCAGTTCAGAATTGGGTACATCTGTTGATTTTGCTTTGTTTTTATCAAATTCACAATCCCATTTGCCTTCTCCAGCTCAGACTTGCTCTTTACCAGGCCTCGCTCCCTCTGTGAGCTCGTGCCCCGTGAGCAGCTTTTGCCCAAGCTCTGCCTATGGAACACCAACTCACAGCTCCAGAGCAGGACTGTCAGTGTGCCAGATTGGCCAGCTCCCCGTCATCTTCCACAGCAGAAGGAACACATAAGCTCCTGCCATCTCTCCCCGTGGGACTGAAAACCACTCCTCAGCTACCCTTCCCTCTCCTGATGCACAAAATGAACATCGATGAGCAATATCTACCTACCTCACAGCCAAGGAAAAGCTTTCTCATCTGTGGATCATACCCTGACCCCTCCGAGCAGGAGTTGTCACTGTGACCCCACCAGGAAGCCGTGTTACCACCCAGGTGGTTTGACTCATGTCTACCCAGAGAGTGAAAAGCAGCTGGGCCTCTGCTGGGTTGCAAATGCAGCCCAGTACATCCTTCCTCCCCGCCTCACCCCCTTCCCTTATCACTTGGAGCTGTGACACAGCAGCAGCACTTGGCTCATGCTCTGCAGATCCTGCCCTGCCCCAGCACCCTGGGGTTCCCCAGCCTCTGCCCCCGGCCCCACTGGTCGCCACTTCCCCTACAAGAGCTGCTTGCTGATCATCCACAGAAGCTGTACACATGCTCCTCATACCCTGCAACACTGCTGGGTTTTGGCCAACACAAGACACTTCATTTCTTCCTGTGCCCTGGCCCCGTGAGCTTCACCCACTCATCACCCCTCAGCTCATTAATCCTGCCACTGAAACAGCGCTCAGACTGACAGCACTGTGTTGTGTGCTGATCCCAAAAGCAGACAGATGTCAGATTTTCTGCCTGCTTACTTTGTTTCCAATTACTTTCCCTCTTCCGTTTACTTTTTAAGGCACCTCCCCCACCTCACACATCCCCATTTACTATGCCACACCTCATCATGCCCTTCATGTCTGTGCCTTGTGGCCTCAAATCTATTCAAGACTTCTCAGGGCTCTGCCAATCTCTGTGGATAAAGAGTTGATGCTCTGATGATGTCTCAAGGCCACGTGCCATCATTGTCCCTTCCTCTTCTGTTTGCTATGACTTGTATCACACTTACATCACTCTTGCAAAATGACTTGCATCTTTACCACACCCAAACAAGCCTTTCTAGAGGTTCTCCAAGTGATTTTTTTCCCAAGTCATTGATAATCCATTTTATAAGAACTCTCCAGCTTTGCTGTTCATTGATCCTAAAGTCTCAGGGTTTAGCTGGTGCTTCAAGGACTCTAACAAAGCTCTTCCTTCATTTCCTAAGTCTGTGTGCTGTGGTAAAAGCACATCCTCCGACAAGCAAGCTGCTGCTCCTGCCTGCTTCCTCCTCTGCCTGCTTGGGACAGAGACACTCAGCTCTGGTGAAGAGAGCACACAGTGCTGGTGAAAATTACATTTCTACTTAGCACTTCTACATCAACATTGCATGAAGAACCAGCAGACATTTGCAAATCATTTCATGAAACATTTTTACTGGACAAAGCATCTTGTTAGCTGTTTGTGGGCTACAGTGCATCTCTACGGGCAGCAGAAAGACCATCAGCAAACAGCTTGTTAAAATAGAGATGGCTCTACCACGCTGGGGAAGTGGTCCCTTTCTCCTATGAAAATAGAATATATTTTACATGATAAGAGAAAATAAAAAGCTCCAGCTGTACAGGAACCTGCAATCACCATCACAACCAACTGAGCAAGGAGAAACCAAAAAGGAACTGTGGTGTGTGATACAAAAGATGTGGGTAGAGCAGAAATGAATGCCAGCGAGGCTCCTGGTACAGGCATCCCCAGACCTGAGGATAGTTTCTCCCATGCAGACTGTGTCCATCTCTTGCCTGCTGAAATCACACGGATTAACTGTATGAAAAGGAAGATCTCCCTTCAGTACTAGTAGGAAAACCTACAAAAACCGTCAGTGAATCCTCTTTCCACTCTCCAGTCCACAAACACAGCTTCCTACCTTCTATATATCCTGCAAGAGCTGGTACCATGCAAGAGTACCAGAGAAAAAGAATCACAAGCCACACTGAACCCCCCTGAATCCTTTACATCTACATATATTGCAACCCTGAATGCATCATAATGGTCAAGCAGAGCATGGATCAGAATTTAGGCAAGCCTCAGGGTAGCATAAAACAACAGATAAACTTCTATAGGTGTCTGAGAAAGTCAAGTACCTCGGTTTTAACAGCTCTAAATAAAGAGTCCTCATTTCTGGGAGGGAAACTCTTTTTGGAATCAGGGTGTTTTAAGAAACCCCGACTAGGCAGCCATTAGCACAGGTTATTTTTGACCTAAAACTCAAGCCAAAAAACAACTAACTTTTGAAAAGTCAGTATGCTTCCCCCCACGCATGCTCCAGGAATCGTAATGGAGCTGGTGCCTGCCCAAATCAGTCTGATGTTATTTTCCATCATCCCATTGAACCTGGGCACTGATCTGTGCATAGGACGTATGTGGAAACTCTAATTATTCCAGTTGATTTCAATCATATGACTCTTTTCTGAAGTTTGCATTAAACAGCCACATACATACCTGTTAGCTGTGCTTTTATCCTGGGAAACGTTTGCTACAGAAAATGCCAGCCTGTGCCCAAGTCTGTGAATCTCATGCTGAGACCAAAGTTGTTATCATCACAGAATATGATATTTAACAGCCTCCTTCTCTTGACTCTGTAACATTAACTGATTCATACAAGGATCTGACAATCCTATTCTGGGGAAACCTCAGCAACCAAAATGACAGGTCAGCGTGCAGAGGACTTTCCCAGTACAAGAGGGAGGATGCAGATAATAGGCCAGCATTAGTGAACGAGTGAGAATAGAAACACTCAGGCTCCCATCATAAGAAAAAAAAAGCAAGGGAGATAAGAAGTGAGAGAAGGCTTTGTAAAAACAAACCGAAATAACTCCAAAGAAGCAGAAGCGGGAGAAAAAATAGAAGAGAAACTGAAATATGAATACTATATGAGGAAAGTACTCATAGCAGAGAAAAGAGAGAAAACCACCACCTACAAGAGATGCATTAAAAGAGCAAAATGAGACCAAATTACCCTTCCCTTTGTTCAACAGCACTACTCACCCAAACACGCAGGGCCTCTGCCCAGGAGGTATGCAGGCATGATCCCCCAGCTGGCGCTGGCTTGGATCCAGCTGAGCTCCACCAGCCAACAGCCCCTCTCCTGCCCTCCTTGACAAACTGCCCAACAAGGAGCCACGACTGTCCCTGTGAGACAGCGAGCTTGGTATCTCAGCGAGCTGGCAGATAAAAGAGTCCCAATCTGCGATTACTGAGAAGGGCTGAGTGCCTTCCAGCCTGGCTTTCAGTGCAATCACAAATGCTAATCGACAGGAGCCCGGCATGTCATTCGTCACGTCTCCAGGGCTCCAGGAAAACCCCCCTTTCCTCTCCTTGTATCAGCTAGGGACAGGAAGATTCCCTCATCCTCTGCACAAGGGAGCCTTTCCCTCCCCCTATCCCTGGCTCCAACCATCTCTGCAAGAAGTTTCACTCCCTGCTAACTCCTCCATTGTCTCCAATGCATTGTTTGCAAATGTTCCCTAAAAATGCCACAGAAAGTATTCCTTATTCCCGTTTCAGGTTTTTCCACATCCCCGTGTAACACCTGGCTGTTATCTCGTTACCTGCCAGATACTGATAAACCTGCTGCATGCAACCTCTGACCTATCATCTAAGAGAAACACGATCCATCTTGTAGTTGTCGTTCCTTTTCAAGTCCCCTCTTCCACTGTTGTATTTGCAGTTGTAGCAAACTACTTATCTTACACATATATGCATATAAAAATAACACTATCGAGAGCCTCAGAAGAACTTTCTATCCTGGCAGAAGATTTGCTACTGCTTTGTAAGCCAGGAGGTTGCAGCACTCATCTATCTTTTGCAATGTCATTTGCATACACTTTCTACAAGGTTCATTGTATTTTATGCTACCTGGTGATTACTTTTTTAATGTTCTAAAATAATCAACCAACAGGTTTAATGATGAAAAGCACTCTTTCTCCAGAGCCAGTCAAACTAAATCAATAGGGTTTGAGTTGGTTGCTTAAATGTACATGGATAGTGAGGTCTAATGAGCTCCCAACTCCCACCTGAGCCTCTGCTGCCACCTCAGAAAGGCACACATCTCCCTCAGAAGCTCTCCCATTCTGTGCCAGCCCCACTGATGTCTGTTCAAAGCACTGAATTAAACTCTGGGTGTCAGGCTTCATATGATCTGCTCCTTACAGAATTCAAGTCAAGGAGGGAAAGAGATTACACCCTTAACGAACTCCCATTTACCAACTACCTGCACCTGATGAAGTAATTCTAAATTCTTCTAGCTCATCCTCTGCAAGTTGCTCACTGAGGTCAAGGTGAGGAACGAGTTATAGCAAAGTTTAAGCTGGATGTTGGGTGTTTCCTGCATGCCTGAGAAAAGTGGAGTCTGCACTACAGGTCCCTTAGGAGCAGAATGGAGGCATAGCTGCTGGGAAAGGCACAGAGCTGATTCTGCCTTTGAGCAAAGGCATGGATTAGATGACCTCGAAGTGCCTCCTGAGGATATCTTCCATAATTGAGAGTTGTATATGCCATCTGGCCATCCTGATCTAGAGAGGTTTACAATAGAAAAAAAGTATGAAAAACAACCAGTAATTATCCCTGACTCAGATGCAGCCTTTGTGAGGGGAGAGGCATCTTCTGATTCTACAGAGGAAACTGAAGCCTTCAGAGGTTAAACCACCTTCTGTGCTCTCCCGAGTCAGAATGCTGCCAGTTCTTTACCCCTAATGGACCAAATCACAGCATTCAGCTGCACAAGCATCTCATTCAGTAGGTGACTTTTTCCTCATTTTTAAAACAAGCAGAGGCCAGAAACCAGCGCCGCTGTGCTCAGGTCACTTTGCCAGGGCTGTATGGATGCTCTTTGCAGAAGTAAAACCTAAAGGTGAACCACAATATAACCAAGCCTCCTGGTCCTAAATAGTAGGGGAAAAGAAAAGGGAAAGCTCTCCACTGACTTACGAGAGCCCTCCCTGATTCTTTGAACCACAGCTCTGTTTTGCTTAGAGTCCAACAAAAAAAAAAAAACGCTCCAATCACCCATCTCTATTTTCAGATGGAAAACCTATGGTAAAGAAGGACCTGGGGGGTTATTTACCATCCACACAGGGTGAGGAGAATGAACAAGAGCAGTTGAAACCTGTTTGGGCTGAAGGATGGACTCTGCAGGACAGTGAGAGCGAGGTGTCACAGGCAGCCCTGGGTTGGAAAGCACCATGTGCTCACAGCTGCACAGAACAACGAGACGGAGCGCAGCCACAACGCGCGTTGGCCCATCTCACGTGTGAAAACGTGGGTGGAAAAGTCCAACCAAAGCGAAGAGCTGAAGCATAGTGAAAATAAGTGCTTCAGTGGAAAGATCTGTGAAGCCTTAAGCATCCTGTGCTGATGAGATCATACAGCCTTCAACCATACAGGCAGAAGGGAAGTGGGAAGGTGGGGGCTTCCCTCTGAGCCAGACCCTGGGCTCAAGACTGAAGGAGACGCACTGGGCCAGCTCAGACCCTTTGGAGAAACAGCTGAAAGGAAGAGCAAAGATCTGCAGCAGTCCCCAAACCTGCAGGACCGAGCTTTCCCCAGTAGTTCTTGAGAGGGCTTAACCACATGGGCTCAATATAAAATCCATTATTGAAGATTAAACAAAAAGATTAATAGCTTTCAAAAGTTGATTACGTACGAAAGCAATAGTGCCAGCAGCCCTTATGGAAACGTCCCATTAAAATCAGCAAAAACAGAAACGCAAACACAGGTAGGAGGCTTTTCAGCTTGGATCTTCAGTGCCTTTTGAAGCCACTGACAGAAGGACAGAAGCTAAAAACACGATGCCAGCCCCTGGTCTGGCACAGGTTCACCCTGACTGCATTTTTATGTGTAAAAATATGTATGGAAAGCCAGAAAGATTATAAGCATGTAAATTGCAATCTTACCCCATGAGCAGCACTAAAAAGGAGTCCAGCTCACCTATTTTTTTTTGCACCCCAGAATAGACCCTTTTAATTTCATACACACACGTTTGCAGTTTGTACCTACATGTTTTCTCTGCACACTCAAAGGTTCATAGCTTTCCTGGATAATCCACAACTGAGCCCATTTAGACAGGATTTCATTTTTATATTATTTGTGGTATGGTTGACTTCTTTCTTCATAAAGATCTATTTTCTCCTTTTCACAGATAGGTATTGCTCCCACACGCACAACTCAATGCAAACACTTCTCACGTGCCCGCTGCTCACTATCTAATCTCTGTGTTGCTACCTGGGTGTATGGTACGCTGGGGGTCTCTGCGGCAGGAGCTGGCCATGCTTCCTTTCCACAGAAGAATGAATTTATCAATTACTACAATTCTGGAGTTACACAGGCCCGAGACTTACCAACCAGATAAGAAACCTGAAAACAAATACATCCAAAGATAGACTTATCTAAGAGTTGACCATCTCCTTAGGAAAATAATTTTATGCAGTTAAGGCAATTCTATTAACCGCTATTTACTAAATGAGTCACGGCATTTAAGTTAACCCTTCCTGTCTCCTCCGTGGCCCCTCTGCCCAAAAACACTCTGGAAGACGACTACAAAGCTACCAGCAAAGCCCCGCGCTCGGATCCCGCCCCAGGACACGGCAGCACATTAAAGCAGCCCAAGGACAACATCTATACGACGCGGAAAGCTCAACCCCGCGACACCCGCACCCCGCACACACCTGCTGCTGCCCGCGCTCCTCCGTGTCAGGGCGGCAGTGCCCGTCCCGCTGGGCACGGAGCCGCCCCGCTCATCCCTCCGCCGCCGGCGCCCCGCACGCCGGGCACAGCCACCAAACTTTCCGCCGCTCGGCACGGGGCTCGCCGAATGAGGAACGGGACGAGGCTGCGAGCGGGGTTAGCGCCGTCTGTCAAGTCCCTGCCCTCTTCCCCTTAGCCCGATTGCAAAGCGCGTGGAAATCTCCTTTGTTAAACAGTCCTCAGAAGTTGACAGGATGCAGGGTGCTCCCGGGGAATCACTATTTTATGATTAATTGTTTTCCAGCACAAATAGCAGTCGAGGAGTTCGGAGGAGGGCTGGGTGCGGGGGGCAAAGTCCGGCACCTGATGGTTGAGGGAAAGATCCGCGGGGCAGAGCCCAGGGCGAGGGGTGTGTCGGGCACTGACAGCCGGGAGAGGGCCGGTGCTCCGGCAGCGGGGCCGGGGCAAGTCGCGGCTCAGAGAAACGGCCCCGTCCGGGGGCTGCGGCGCAAGCGAGGGGCCGGGGCCTCTCGGCAAGCAGCGCGAGGGGAGTTCAGCCGCCCCAATCGCTCCCGTCCCGGCTCCCACCCGTCCCGCCGCATCACCCACCTGCCCCGGGGCGCCGTACCGTGCAGCTCGGGCCGCGCCCGGAGCCGTGCGCCGCTGCCGGGCGCTGCCCCGCTCCCGCCGCAGGACGCGGGCGGCCCGGGGTCGGCGGCTCCCCCTGCAGGGCGGCGCGGGCGGCGCGGGGCGGCGGCGGAGGGGCGGCGCGGAACCCCCCGGAGAGCGGAGCCGCCCCGGTTTACCTGGCGGCCGAGGCGCCGCGGGAGGGAAGCGGGGGATCCGCGGCACAGGGGGCGGGCGGGGCGGCATCGGCGATCCCTGCAGGAAGTCCAGCTGCCGGCGTGAGGGACCTGCGAGGGACGGAAATGGGCTTTTAGTGTGTCTTAGACAGGGCGCACGGAAAGGAGGGCTTTTCCCACGCGCTGTTGGAAGCGTCTCTATCTTTCCAGGCTGCCAATGCCACCCACCGAGCTGCAGCCCACAGCCGTGCCGAGTGGCACAGCACTAAGCTCCGAAAAGATTACACAAGCAGAGAAACCAACAGCTCCTTCTCTCCTCTGCTCCGCTGTCACTGCCACCGGCAGCGCGAAAAGGAAACCCCGTCCGTGAACACTGTGGAAGAGCTCAAAAACACCCAGCCCAGCTATTAAACGTCTACCAGAAGTGCCACAGAATCGTTTGAGTCGGAAGGGACCCTTGAAGGCATCTTGTCCAGCTTCCCCGCAATGAACAGGGGGCACCTACAGCTCCACCAGCTGCTCTGAGCCCTGTCTCCGAGGCTGGGAACTGCTCCCATAACAGCCTCGCTCCTGCCCTGTACAAAAGGCTGTGTTTTCCTGCTCCCAGCTGATGCTCTACAATCTGTGCTGGGTCTCAGCTCCCTCCAGGGTAACGCTTCCTACATCTGTGCCACTGGTTCTCTTACTTTCAGGTGCTCTTTTCTTCTGCACAT